AACATTATTATTTTAACGGCACATGAATAAAAAACGATTTGTACAATTTACAAGCCGCAAATGGGGGATGACTTTATGTAATTTCTGTGGCATAGATCTTGATATACAAGAATTATTTCCCATGCAAGCTTATGCACCTTTTATTTTCTATTACATATAACACCTCTCTCTCTCTCTCTCTCTCTCTCATCAACGTATAACATCTCTTAAACACAAGAATTCTTAGGTCTTCGAAGTTAAGATTGAATTATAGCTAATGAGTCATCTTTCCCATTCGTTTATCAAACGGGAATGGAGTTTGATCTGCTATTAGAACTCGGCCAGCTAACTAGTGTGCAGGAATGTTACGGATTTACTTGTGGGCTTTACAAAGACCATATTATTTTTGGGCAGTTTACCAGCTCCATCAGGACCAACCCACCCCAATTTGGGCCATCATTTTTTTCATGGAGCGGATTAAAAAAAAAAAAAACACAGACATAAAGAAAAAGGGGGTACAGGCCTTCAGTCTAGCAAAAAGAAAAAGAAAAAAAAAAAAAAAACTAGTCTATCAAATATGATTGACAGGAAGCTGAATCATGTTACTGATAAGCTGGCAAAAGAAGGAATTTCCTATTCTTCTCTGTTTGAGGTGGCTCCGGATTTTTTGAGTAGCTTAGTTGCTTCTGATAGTTTGGGGTCTCAATCCCCCCTTATGTAATTTCCTTTAATTTCTAGGGCTTTGCCCTCTTTTTATCAAAAAAAAAAAAGATTAATCAAGGTTTGGATCTCTATTAAAAGAGATATCCATTTTTAATATTCAATTGTATCAAGAATATGATTGCCTCTAATAAAAAGATAATTATGGGTTAAATACAAGAAGGAATGGGACAAATTAGTAGACATGGTAGTATGGTGGGTTGAAGGAAACATATTCATTTAGATGCAAAGGAGTTTTAGCCTGCCCTTTCATGACTTAAACTCATAGCAGCCTAATTTGCAAGTTGGTGAGTTAGCTTGCTTAATTTTTTTTTTTAAATGGACATAAAATGAGTTGAGAAGAAAATGCTTACTTGTTTAGTCGGTAGTCACTCTCAAACCTAAAGGATATAAGCAGGTGAGTCAAAAAATCAAATTTTAAAAGAGCAATAAAAATAACAGTAGTAGAATAGGTTTTAAATTGGTTTTCAACTTCATACAATATGCTAAAAAATTAATATACTCCCCTTGAATTGAAAGTAAATTTGTAAATAAGTTGCATTATTTATACTTATAGGTGTCAGTATAGTGGATTATATGTTTTTGGGTACTTAAATAATAATATTATTAGATTGTGTAAAAAGAATAGCGAAATTAATAGTTAGACCAAAAATCAAAAAAACTAGACAATAATAGCATATTAATACTTTTTATATTTTTGTTGTCAAAATTCTTTATAACTTATACTACGAGTGAAAAATTGAAGAAAAAACTAAAGCATATATGGAGCATTGGACATTGTCTAATTATACAATTTCATGGTTTAAAAGATATAAAATTTATTTTTTTTAACAAAATGGGATTAAATTATTATGCATGTTTTGATTGTAAAATAGATAAATATTGACATAATACATGACATCTAACTAAATTGCAGAGTATGTGATCCGCACTAAGTCTAAAATGTCCCAAGAAAAATTCGTTGCATGTTGTTTTGATGACCCCTGATAGCTATGATTGCAATTTTTCATGTAAAATTTGTATTGCGTTTTTTAATAATTTAAAAATACTTTTATTATTATTTGAATAATTAATTTTTCAAAAAAAAATAAAATAGGTGAATTTATAATTTTTAAAATTAAAAAAGTATAAAAAATATGTTTTGCTAATGAATTGAAGAAATCCATTACAGGTTATGCAATTTGGCAGATACATAACCCACTAAGGTTCACCCCACCAAACCCGCAACGTGTGGGTTGACTACAAATTAGCCATTTCACTCTTTAATTTATGTCATTGTCCTTCTTCCAAGCGTGACCTTAACAAAAATGGCAATTTGCAAGGTAGCCTTAGTTGTCTTCCTATATTCCTCATTCTCTTATTTATATATTATTCAAAAAGAAACGGAAAAAAACTTAAGGGATTTGATTGGACGAAAAGTAAAAAACACGATAGAAGTCTACAAAAAGATTCAGGTAGGGGGGACATGCATAATGATAACAGTAAATATCATAACTAGTATGTTTTTCATAAAAAGAGCAAATAAGCAGTCTGCTAATTATGGCCCCGCCCAGCTTCTAGCTAAGTAAGGTCATTGAAGACTTTTTATTTAGGTAGAATAACTTAAAAGGTTCTCAATTAATTTAAATTAAATTTTAAATGTTAAATTCTAGACACCTGCAAATTCAACTTTTAATTTTATAATTTTATTATGATAAATTTATAATTTATCTTTTAAATTTTAATAGAAAAAAATAAATTTATTTATTCTTTAATCATATAAAAATTTAAAAAAATAAATTATAAATTCAACACAATGAAATTATAAAATTAAAAACTAAACTAATAAATTCCTAAAATTTAATACTTGAAACTTAATTTAAATTTGAAAACATGTTAGTTGTTTGTTTACGTTTCCATTATACGTGTCACATGTGTTGACGCTAGCATATTCTTGTTTACAAGTAAAAATCAATTTCATCTGGTATACAAAATCCTATATTTAAATGATTACTCGTTGTCATGCGCAAGCTCCTCCTCCTCCTCCCTCGCTCAATCAAATACTTAGGATATAAAGGCCCTCTCTACTTACACTAAGGTAAGTTGAAAACTCAATAATATTCCTTCCACTAAAGTCTATACCAAAACAAATGAGGTTATTCTCACTCCGAAAACAAAACCAACCGCTTCTATTATATATACTAGTATACAATAAAATTAAGGAAATGTATCAAAATTAAATAAAATGATAAAAAATCTGAAAAAAAATAAATTATGAAAACGAAAGAACCAGTTTCTTTTTAAATAAAGCACACAAAAAAATGTGATGTAATTAATTATTCCAATTTTTTGGATAAAAAGCTTTTAGTTAAAGTATACTTTTAGTTTGCTAATTTTATATAAGGTTTTAGTTTGCTCTTTTAATTTAATAGTGTATCTTTTCAGTCCTTTAATTTTAAAACGATTAGTTTTAAATGATTTTTGTGTGTACCAATTGTGGTTATTTTTTTAAAAAATTAAATTTAATATGTCAAAATTTAAAAATGTGTTGTTAATATTTAAAAGTATAATGTATGAAATTTTTGTTGATGAAACTAATAATGTTAAAGTTAAAAGATTAAAAAGATAATTTATAAAATTAAAAGATGAAAATAAAATATTATATTTTTTGGATAAGAAGAAAAATATATTAACAATAGTAAAATGTAGCCTACCAAAAGAGTATTAAAACAGGCCTCCTAAAATAATTATAAGAAGCTGAAAAAGACAAAATGTTAGGACCTCGTTTCTAAAGTAGTATAATCATCAAATTCCTGCAGAAGCTTTGAAATGTTTTGAATATGTTTAATTTATCATGTTTAATTTTCAAATTTCCTAAATTCGCACGATCTCCAAAAATGCTTCAAACAGTAGTTTTTAATCGGCTGCAAACACATAAAGTCAAGAAGAGATGTGCTGCGATGGCTTCAGATCTACAAAAAAGCAATTCAATCAATCACTCGATGTTGCAAGGTAAAGATACAGCAAAATAAAATTTTACATAAAATTAAAGGATGGAAAATATATTTTAATCAAATTATTTTATTTTTATTATGATTGGTTAAGTGATAGGTGAAGGTTCTTTGTTGGTGTGGCCCCGTGAAACATGTTGCACTGTTGCAGGACACGTGCTTCTCGCAGAAGGCTCTTGTGGTGTGGACTCTGACTGACAGAGATGAAACTATTTCAGACGGAAGCTTTATTATAAGTTTATAGCACTGTAGTTTTAGAGCTCAACCTCGAGATTAATGTGAAGCCTTGTTTTGCCAGGGTTTTACCACTCTTCTTTAATATCAAAATAAATAACGTTGTTATCTCATATTGTTCTCACTTCTCTTGTACTAAAAAAAACATTAAGTTGGCAATGATAAAGACTAGCTAGCTAGTAAGAGACATCGCACCGGTCGACGTTTTCCGGTATTATGTATACAATGATGTTCAAGTCCAACCTCGCTTTTTTCTTTTGAAACGTGAATGCCTTCGTCCCGATTACATGTTGTTGTCCGTGTTGGATCTCTGCATTCTACGGGTTTTAGTTTCCAGGACAAAAAGGTCCCCAGGTAGATTCAGTGACCAAGTTTATGGGCAATACATAATCTGAGTTCCAAGGTTAGGTGAAGATTGGTGTGAAATGCATGAAGTCGAAGTAGCCTAGAAATTACCAAAGAGAAAACACCTGCAGGCTCTAGAAACCGTAGTGGTTTATATTGCTTTTTGATTACCTCTTCATTGTTATGGCAGGTGATAGCAGATTGAAGAAATTCACTTAAAGGGAATTCAAATTTTGCGTCGACAAAATTGGCTTACGTTTACAATGGGTTGCAGCCCCTCGAAGGGGGTGAATGATAATCTTAGACCTAGCCATGAAGAATTTTCTCGCCTCGCCTCGGAAACACCATGTGGATCAGAAAAACTAATACTGTTAACCTTTTGCTTTTGCCATTCCATGGATTAATACGATTCCTTATATCTCCGTAATTCAGGAGGAGAGGCTGTCTGTAGCCTGATTGTTTTGTAAAACATTCCAAACCTAATGTTTGCCCTTTAAATCTGGCAAAAAAACACTTTGGATCCTTGCATTTTTTTTTTTATGTTCTAAGTCTTCATATTTTTATTATTTTTTAGTATTCTAGGTTCTTTCAAGGTTCATACACTGTATTCATTTAAAGACCTAAAATATATATAAAAAAAAGAAAGTGTATGAGGACCTAAAATATCGAAACAAAGTATTGGAACTTATAACAATGTGTGAGTAAAGTATAAGGATTTAAAATTATATTTTTTTAAAAAAATAATTTTTTATGATAATAGGAACTTTTACTCCCAAGGATTTTGGTATGTTGGCCGATTTTGATGTTGTGGACTGATGATTTGTGTTCTACAATTCAGGAGGAATAACATGAGCAACACTTTGATTGTTTGAAGTGTCCATGTGTATTTTAAAAAGTCACATGATGTAATATCGTCTTCTTTCTTTAAAGTGTTGGAGCGCCATAGCTTATTGACGCAAATGCGAGCACATTCATATGTTAGCTAGTATATTTTCCTCATATTAGTGTTTTTGGTATAAATGAAAATGAATATAGTTTATGGTGTTCAAGAATCTTATTGTCGATATCTTGTGTTGAATGTCACATCATAACTGATAATCATCTATGTAAAACAAAGGCTGATTTGAAACTACTTTATGTCTGACAGTTTCTATAAGTGATATGGAATCTTTGTATGATTTGTACAAAAGATCAAGCGCTTCTGTTGTCAAAGACGGTTATATTCGGAAGGTAATTTTTGAATTTCAGTCTCATCAATGTTCATTTTGACTTCTAACTTTTCATGGGATAGGAATAAGGCAGTGTCTATATATCCTCGCTTCTTATCCGTTTATGTCACCAAGAACAATGATCTTAGTTGAATTTACAGTTTATATCAATTGATACTTTTCCATCATGTGGGGTGTACAGGAAGATCTTCACTTCGCCCTCTGCAGAAAGGGCAACAAGCGAAATCTTTTTGTGGACAGAGTAAGTCGATTTACTTCCACCACGTTATTTTTAACTAGAATCCTGGACAACTATTTCTATAATCATAGATGTTAATCTGCATATTGCCAAACTTGTTTCCAAAAGTTATTGCTAATACTTAAATAAGGTTAAAGTTTTGTAAAATCAAGTGTTCTCTGTCATGCCAGGAGAAGTAAATGCAGTATGAGAATATATAATTATTTTTTATATTTTATATTGCAACAGGATAAATGTTATTTGGGAATTAAAGTTTGTAATTTGAGGAAATTGGAGTTTTCAGATTAATATAGCATTTCAGACTTCATTGCATTTACCGTCTTATGAGATATTGACTTGGGTGCAGATATTTGATTTTTTTGATGTCGATTGCAATGGTCAAATTGAGTTTTCAAAATTTGTTCGATCCTTTGGTGTCTTTCACCCAAAACTCCTGCAGCAGTCAAAATAAAATGGAAGTAGTTAACGTGAGAGGGAGGGGGGGGGGGGGGAGAGAGAGAGAGAGAGTAAAAGAGGTCTAGAAGTCATGATACTATTGGCCATGCCATGTTTAATCATATTTCAGAAAATTATAAGATTGAAGACACCGTTCGTAGTCATTTTGGCTTTTAAACCACATTTATCACTATATCATTGCTCAAGTTTGCAAAATCTTTTTTGACAGATGCATTTAAATTAGGGCTAGATTTGTACTTACTCTTACATATTTAATAAACTTTCATCCAATTAAATCATGACATGTAAATAATATTAATAACAAGGATTTATTATAAAATAAGTAATGTATAATCGGTAAACATGTCTTAATTTAATTAAAAATAAGTACCTTAAATATATAAGGTTAAATATTATAAGTTTTTCTTTTTAAATTATATGATCTGAGGCATGTTGGATACATTGAGCATGGAAAGGTGCCCTTTTCTTTTTCTTCAATTTATTACCTTTTGACTGCAAATTGACGTGGCTATTGGATAGGGAATCTTATATGAAATATTAATGAGTACTGATAAACGTATCAAGGACAGATAAAGGAATATAAATTATAACTTTAAATTGTTGGCAGATTGCTCTATAAGCCAAGCAATCTACGCATTTACTTCTTTGTAGATAAATAAGCTTTATATTAGCACAAATCTCCTAAGACATGCACTGGTCATAGTTGCTTTTCTTTCCTGAACATTGGTCTCTGTATTGTAAAAAATAACTACACTGGTGTTGGCCAAAATAAAAAATGACAATACTGGCGTCTATGCCAAGTTGCCAACATAGAAAGAGGTTTGATATGTTAGTCCCTATAAGATCCTCCCCATATCTAGATTCAATTTATTAAAAATCCATTGACATGTTAGCTTGCTCTGATTTCTTGGTCAGATATGAGCAAAACTTAAAAAAATTCAATTTACCCTAATCTTGGCAGCCATCTCTAGTATGGTTGAATACATGACTCTAAAGGAGGCAGCTAGTTAAACCCCCTCGTTCTAGTGCTCATATTTTGTTTTTGATGTCATAAGGACAGATAGCAGCCACAAAATGGTTTACATGGAACATATCCATGTATCTTGGTTGTATTTTTGGTTTATTTTTGTCACAGTTTGTGAAAGAAAACATTAACTTTGAAGAACAATGTCTTGTTTCCTTATGACTTTATGGTTTGCTTTTGTAGTAAAATTTTATGACACATTTGAGAAAGACAACAAGCTGGCCTTATTTGATAGAATTTGGAAACTTATTCTTAATGATACTCTTACAGTTGAAGGTGATGGTGCTAGCAATCTTGACTGAGTCTAATATGAAACTCTCCAACGATGTGGTTGAAATAATAGTGGACAAGGTTTGTGTTGTCTTTCAAACTCAAATTATTAGACTAAAAAAAAAAATCCTTGGTATAAGGTACTCACATGTACTTGTACTTGAGTCCTTGACAAACATTTGTGGTAGCAGACACTAAAGATGATGGGAAACTTGATCCAGAGTAATGGCAACAACATGTGGAAGATAAACCATCATTACTGAAGAACATGACTTTACCTTATGTATTGTATGTTCTAGAATCTATGGCTCTGAATTACTTTTAGTGAAAGTGTTTTCCTGCTATATCTAATTATAAAGAGAACGTGAAAACTTCATCACACAACATATATATCGTCAATAACGATACAAAGAAAATGAAAACTTCATTAGCCAATTACTTGTTGCTCTTTATGATGGAACATTTTTATGTTCTTTTTGATTGCTAGTATAAAAGTTTTGAGTCATTAGTCACAACCAGATTCTTTGAAAAGCTTAAGGCCATGTAATCTTGAATGAGTTTCCACGTGCAATTGTTGTAGAGTAATTTTCAATATAGTGCTGTTCTAACTAACTAGTTAATTTTAGGAATGTAACTCTTGCATTTCCTATGAACTCAGAAATCCAAAAATCACAATTGTAGCTTCAATATGCAACGCTTACCAGAATTGGCATTTTTTGTGGCTTTGGTTGCTGAGATATGAAAAGGTGGCAATTTGGTTCGGACATATAGAAAATCCAGCAACTTCCTCAGAGTCAAGAAAACATAGACAACATTCAAATCTTTAACTCTTTGTAACCTTTGTGTTACCATTATTTGAACGTGATATGTTCGAAGGATGATAGGAAATGTGAGAGCTTAAAAGGGTTGACAAATTCAACTGAAAAAATGGCCCAATCCTATCCCTTGCATGGACTTTATGTTGTTCAGTGTTTTATGAAAAATGAAGTATTGAAGTAAACTTATTCATTGATATTATTAGCATTTAAAAGACAAATTATAAATAGGTCGTTGTTGAAGGTGGGAAAAAAGAGAAAAAGGCAAGTTCAACCTTCTAAAACAAGAAGAGAGAGAAGGGATAAAAAAAACATTTCTTCAACCTTTTCGGTTTCTCCTTCATTGGAGGGGTTATACAAATTCAACATATCTCTTAACTCCCAAGTGGATTATAATTTCTAATAATATATTATTCTTTAGATCGAATCTGTTTAAGAAGAGAAAAAGAACTTATTGTTATTTTTTTTTGGCCAATGAATGGAGAGAAATGGATTGAACTATTCATATGTAGATTTGAAGTCATTCATCCTCACCTCTTCTTGTCCGAATGCGCTATTAGAAAAATAAAAATTAGCAAGGGATCACCTATTCATAATAGATAATTAGTAAGGAATCATTTATTCTTCTCTAAAATATCAAATTAGTGAGGAAAATAATAAGAAATTGTCAATCCCTCTGTAAAATAAGAAAATTAGAAGGAATTGTCAATTCCTATTTAAAATAAAATAATTAGTGAGAAAAATAGAAAGGGACTGTGAATCCCTTTCTAAAATAAGACAATTAGCAAGAAAAATAGCGAGCAACTGTCAATCCTTCTTTAAAATAAGATAATTAGTGAGTGATTTAGTAAATGATTCTATCCCTAGCTAATTATTGTAAAAAAATTAATTTTTGGCAATAATTTTTAATAATATATTTAATTATTTTCATTCAAAAATAAAAATTACATTTAAAAATTAACTAAAATATTCATAATAAAATTTTTTACTATTTACTATTTTCTTTATCTTAAGTTGATTTTCATTAATAAAATAATATTTCAATAAAAATATAATATAAAGAATAATTTAAATAAAATATAAATATTTTTAACATATTAATAATTGAAAATAAAATTGAATATGTATATATGTCTGTGTATTTTTATAATATATTATTTGATATATTTATATAATTAAATAATATATATTTAATTTTTTATATAATGATTACATGTGCTTTTCAGTTTAACTGGCAAAGAAAAAGAACATAAGGCAATAAATATGTGACATGTTAAGAAGCGGGTGATATGGCATCAACATTTTTAAATATAGGCATATTTAACGAGAGACTAATCCCTTACTAAAGTTATTGAATTTTAAATAGTATTAGTGGGAGATTAACGAGGGGTGTGGCCCTCACTAAAAATTAGAGGGACTGAATCCCTCGCTAATTAGCGAGAAAAATACCATCCCTCATTAAATTTAGTGAGCCCCTTTTTAACTACTAATTTAATGAGAGATTTTATGCAATTTAGCAAGGAAAAATGGCATTTAGTGAGGGATTTATCCCTCCTTAAATTTCATTTTTTTAAGTAGTGATGTTTCTATAGGGTTTATTTTGGATCTCAATTTTTGCTCATACTCATCTTAGAGACTTGCTAGGTTTAGGGTTTTTGAATGTCCTTTATAGTTCACAACAAAGGTGTCTCCTTTAACTTTCTTGAAATCATCTCATTAACGAGACATCTTAAATCTTTTACAAAACTTTTATAATTGGAACATAAATCTCAACGGTCCCAATGTATCTTTTTTTTAACCTACTTCTTTTCTTTTTATTTTGTTAATCAGACTTTTGTAACACCCTCAAAAATACAAACCGATTTTTCGCAAATTATTAAAACCATTATCATGGTAGAAAATTTTCTTACCATGATACATCCAAGACAATATACCACAGGTCTTAAAATATCTCAAAAAAACAATTAGAACCATGAGGGACAGACAGGATCCTCATGGCATGATATTTAAATCAGGTCATGAATCAAGAGGGACAGATATAATCCTCTTGGTCATATAAATACTTTTAATAAAAAGGATTAGAGTTTACATGCTTCACAAAGAAGATATGTCCTAAGTTGGCACAAGATACATTATATAATCCAAAATAAGAGGCAACGTAAAAGATGGTGTCTCATACACCATAGTTACACCTCTGGTGCTTTCTCGGCCGGACTCGCTCCTGTAAAAATGTTAACCACGGGGAATGAGACTTAAAAGTCCCAGTAACCAAAAATTAATATGTAATGATGCATGCGGATGTAACTAATCATGCGATTGCTAAGTGGGCACACAAAACATTTAACCGAACAATACTTTCAAACAAACCGAACAAGTATTTAATTTGCATAACTGCACCTTATATCCTCCTTTCGCCATGCTCGGACGCCAAATCACCAGGCCAAAGGTGAGTTGGACCAAGCGACACGCCACTCATTGGGTCTAATGAGGGCTTACCACGTGGTAATAATTAACCGAACAAAAATTCCCATTAACACCATACATTAAAATACCCTGACAAGTCATGCATCATTCAAATATCCAAACAGAAATATATCCGAACAATAATATCTCATCATGATAAACAAAAATAAATTTTTAACCCACTTGGCAATGATTTCACGGAAGTATATAACAGTATTTATTTTCAATAATTCATAATTTTTCCAAACAATAAAACAACACATAACAATTCACAAACACACCCATCACAACACATTAAATGTTGCATGATCCCATTGCCCTTGGCCACCTAAAAAGTTTGGTAGTCATTAGGCCACCGAGCCATTTAATTATATACAACAATAAAAATATAAGTAATAAACCAAGCTTATAACCATTTCTATATTATAACATAACGGTGTGTTGTTAACTTTTGAATAGAACTTATTATTTTATAAATGTTACTTGTTAATCTGACAAGGACAATTACAAATTAGGAGCTTTAAAACTTTACACATTTGACTTGTTAAAAGTTTGAATGGATTGTTGTGAATCATGAATAGGTTGCTGTCAAAAACTAAACGGATACTTATTGATGAATGACTAAGCCCTTCTTATTAGTTTTTTCTAACTTATTAAAATCAGAATAAATTGTTGTTAATTTAAAATGAATTGTTGCCAAAACCTAAGGCCATGTTTGGTAGGTTGGAATTGTGAAGATGGAAATGGAATTGGGATAGGAATCTGAATAAAGTGATGTTTGGTAGATATGAATTACAATTCCTGGGAATCCTAATTCTATGGAAAAAAGCTAATTTTGATTCCTTATGTAAATCTATGGAATTGGGAGCAATTCTATGGAATTGTAATATTTAAGACACTTTTGCCCTCATACAAATTTCAAAAAGACAAATTTGCCCTCAAAAAAAATAAAACCCTCACCTCACTCACACTCACGCTTGGTCACGGCAGAGCGAGAGAAAGCAAGATTTGTTGCAGACCGAGAGAAGGCGAGAGCTGTGGTGAGATCGAAGACGAGCCGGACGACGAACGACGCGGTCTGGACAAATATTTTGGATTTCGCGACCAAGGTATGGGTATCAATCGACTTCCCTCCTCCATTCTTTTTCATCTGTGATTTTATATCCTTCGGCCGCCTCCCCTGTTTAAGCTAGGTTCTTTTCTGGGTATCAATCGAAGCTATGAAGCTAGGTTTGAAACTTGAAAGTTGTTTTTCCACCCTGATATACATATAGTGACAAATAAATAGAATATTTTAAATATTAGTGGGACTTCAGGTTGTCATAGGCTTCGGTTTGATGCAGAGACATCGTCTTGATTATATTTAACATTAACTAGACTGCATTATTTGCCCTAAAAAGAAACACGTTGTAGATTGCATTATTGAGGGAACCCGTTATTGTACATAGATGTTTCAAGTGTGTATATTTTGGAGATCTCGCAAGCTTTTCACAAGCTGTACATTCTGAAGTCTGCCCAGACCTTTCTCTTCTCCTCTTTTGGGGGCTCTAGTCACGGATCCTTATCCTTTCATCCCTTCTTTCCCTTATTTTTTTGCTGAATTTTTGAATTTTGTTTCTTCTCTTGTGCCTTGCATCCTATAACTCATGTGTGAGTTGTCTTATCCTTTCATCCTTTGTAGATATTCCCGTTACAAATAAAAAAACAAATAGACTTGTCAATAGTTTGACCATAGATGCAACTATACTCTTCCCAAATAACCTGCTCTACACTGTACATCTGTTCTGCTCCTATTGGTACATTATCCTCAATGGTTATAGTTAATTAGAATTAAACAAATCAAATGCCACGAAATTACTTCCCAGTGGGTGAATTGTCTAGTTATTTATTCTTATTAGGCTACACATAATATAAATCAAACAGACTTGATCAATGAAGTCCAGAAGTACGTAAATGCTTTAATGATTCACTAGTATGGGTTTAACTCGAAGGAATATTGAGGGTAAGACCATAATGACAGCATGAAGGCTGAAAGAGCATTCATTAATTCCTTGTCTCATCGTGTCATCAAATTTCTGTAGATTCACAAAGTATGCATGCAGTATAGGCAAAAAGAATATTAAACTCTGAAATAAAGGACACTGGGGTCCATGTGCCCTGGTATGATACTCTTGAGCTGGGAACTTTGGGAGTCGATTAGCCATATACATTGCTGCTTCTAAGTATGACTCATTCCTTCTCGTTGTCCCTTCCTTTTCCAAAAACTGAATGGCCATAGTCTGCTATGCTTCCCAAGTTCCTCTGTTTTCGGTCTCCAGCTTCCATTTCTCAGATTGAAGCTGTACAAGGGCAGGAATCTCTGGCCATAGTCTGCTATAAACTCCATGGCTCTTAGTATGAACTCAAAATCCTCTTTGCTCATGTAATAAGGAAAACTGACTCTGGTCCATCCAGGTTTGACGCTAACATAACCCTATTCGTGGTATTCAACATTTTTCTTTACCAACAATGTGTGTTTAATTTAAAATGATTTACTAGAGTTTCATGATTTTCTAGTCTATTAAATATGGGCTTTATGCTAGAATTTTATACTGTTTTTGTTGCCTATAGAATTTTATACTGTTTCTAGTCTATTGAAGTGATATTTATTGGATGTTTTAGAATTTTTTATCCTGATATTTTAAAATTTATAACCTACAGTTATGGATCCAGAAATGAGAGATGTGATAGTTCATTTGATGATTTGGTGGATGCATGTTCTTCACTCTATGTATCAATGTTTCTTTGCCATTTGTACCACTATAGCCTTGCGTAGGAATCGCATTAGTCGAAGGCCATATACGGTAGACTTCTATGCTAATAGAGTCCACTTACGAAACTTGGTGTATAACAGTGACATTACTTGTTATAACCAGCTTAGAATGAATAGAGCCACATTCGACAAGCTATGTCTTATGCTTGATGTCATAGGAGGTTTGAAACCAACCAAAAACATGCTAGTTGATGAGCAAGTGGCAATGTTCTTACATATCCTTGCACATCATTTAAAAAATAGAGTTATACGATTTTATTTTGGGAGGTCTGGTGAAACTATTAGTAGGTATTTTAATTTGGTCTTAACTTCTATGATGAAACTGAATCGAGAGCTCCTAAAGAAACCTGAGCCAATTGCTGAGGATTCAATAGACGAAAAATGGAGGTGGTTTAAGGTAATCTCATATCTTAATTCATAACTTTTATTAATGATATAATTTATCTATTCTTTTAATTAATTATTTGTTATTTTCAGCATTGTTTAGGTGCTCTTGATGGAACCCATATTAAAATGAAGGTGCCTATGGCTGACAAAGCGAGATATAGAAATCGAAAGGGGGAAATAACTACTAATGTGTTGGGAGTTTGCTCTCCGGATGGACAATTCATATATGTCTTAACGGGTTGGGAAGGCTCAGCAGCTGATGGTAGAGTTTTGCGAGATGCTATTAGTCGTAGGAATGGTTTGAAAGTGCCTCAAGGTAATGTTAATTTATTTTTAAGTAATGATCAATGTAGTAATGAGCTTAAAGTTAATTTCTTTTATTCTTGTAGGCCAATATTACTTGGTTGATGCGGGGTATGCAAATTGTGAAGGATTTCTTGCCCCATTTCGAGGTCAGCGATACCACTTAAGTGAGTGGAGGGATGGACGGCAGCCTTTAACTCCACGTGAGTGCTTCAACATGAGGCATTCATCTGCGCGTAATGTTATTGAACGATGTTTTGGAATGTTGAAACTACGATGGGCTATTCTTAGGAGTCCTTCATTCTACCCTGCTCAAGTCCATAATCGGGTCATCATAGCGTGTTGTCTCCTTCATAATTTGATCCGTCGACAAGGAGATGATCCACTAGATATTGAGATAGAGGCATTGGAGACAACTACCAATGATATGGAGATACCTTATATTCAAACAATTGAGACATCAAATGCATGGGCTAACTTTCGTGATACCTTGGCAAATGAAATGTTTGTTGAACTTATGAGTCATAGGGGTAGTATGTGAGCATTAGAAGAGACACCTAAATCTAGATGTGACTTGAATTCTAGTTGAATATTTGTGGATGTATGTTTTGTGTAATGACAACATTATAAATGGTTTTATTAGGTGATGTTTTCCTTCTTTGCAATATTGTGATGTATGAGATTTTATCTTCATAGCAATTGATTGTGTTATGGTATGTTAAAACTAATGATAATTTTTGCTGTTTAAGTAAGATCATGACAGGTGGCGATTCCACAAAGTCAACCCATCATGTCTGGACACCTGAGGAAGACTCTCTTCTTGTGCAATCCTTGCTTCAGCTTCGTGATGATGGGACCTTGGTTGCAGATAATGGGTTTAAGGCTGGAGGTTTAAAGAAGTTGCAAAGAATGATAGAGGAGAAGTCACCTGGATGTGGGATACTAGCTGTACCTCACATTCAATCTCGTTTGAAGACCTTGAAGACTAGTTGGCAGGTCATATATGATATGTTATATGGCTCAAACACATCTGGATTTGGTTGGGACCCTGACAAACAATGTGTTACAGCAGACAAGGAAGTGTGGGATGAGTATGTTAAGGTAAAACTTTACTAGAAAAATATTTTTTACTTCAGCTTTATACTTATAATAAATATTGATGCAGATTTGAATTTGTAAGCTTACTAGCTATTGATATTTTTATGTGATTTTATGTTTGTAGAGCCATAAAAAAGCTGCTCATTTCAAGAACAAACCCTTTCCTCTCTTTGATGCACTATGCTCTATATTTGGAAAAGATAGAGCTGTAGGAAAAGGGTCACTTTCAAGCAATGATGTGCATGAGGTTGAAGCTTATACAGAGTTTGATACAATAGCTGCTAATGTTGATGAAGATACTGTGGATATTGGACTAGAGATGGATCCATCAATTACATTCTCTGACCATCCATCAGAAAACACAAATGTTGGCACTTCTAAGTCTAAGAAAAGGAAAAGAACTAGTCAAGATCGTGATGAGTTTTTGACTGAGGCACTTAAAGAGATGTTAGCAGCTACTTCCCAAGACATCAAGGATTCCTCTGCCCAATTAGGAGCTCGTTTAGACAAGTTGGCTCGAGAAGCAATGTTAGATGCACGAAGAGAGGCTCTATATGATGAGTTGTTGAAGGTTGAAGATCTTACTGACAATGAGCGCACTGATGCATATCTTAAAATGATAGGTGATGATAAAATTCTTGTTGGATTTCCTAACCTACCAGATAAGGCTAAGGCAGCTGTGGTTCGCAAAATACTTTATGCATAAATGTGTTATGTATGCTGCTTCTTTTTGGGTATTATAGTGTAGCTAAGTCTACATTGTAAACCATGATGGATATATTTTTTTGGCTCTGTCATGGTTGGTAGCCTTTTTGATTACATAGTTGTGGCTGCCTTATATATAGGAAGTCTGATTGTAAAGTGCTCAAGTCTACTTCTTTAGTTCATTTTTTGGTTTTGCCATGGTAGGTAAATTGTGCATTGGAAGATATGGCAAAAAAATTGAGTCAGACATTTTGTACAAATGCTACTTATGTGATAAATAGTTAACTTTATCCTTAGTGACATGAAAACGTTATAATATGGATATAAGATAGTATTATATATAATATTTGTATATAATTTATATATTTATAATATTTTTTGTAAAATATTTTACTAGATATAATATGTTGGTATAAGAAGTAGAATTGATTTGTTTGACATTTTTCTTCTAAATCTATGTGTTAGTGTATTTATTTTAAAGTAGAAGGGATGGGAACCATTGTCAATTTTATTTTCAAGAAAATGTTCCCTCTGATGATAAAACTTTTTGTTTGGCCCAAGCTAGTGAATAATAGTTATCGATATAATCTATGATTTATATAATATTTCATTAATATATAAAATACATAAGAAAATTGGTACACAATTAAGTTTTTATTATGTTTTATTTTAATTTTTATATAGGGGTATTTTTGTCTTTTAAGTATAATTCCATTTCCATGTCTTGCATACCAAACAAAAGTAATGTAAGGATTCCATCTAATTTTTCTGACATACCAAACATACTTTTATAATTCAATTCTATTCCAATTCTGATTCCAATTCTGATTCCGATTCCAATTCCAATTCCATCAAAAACTATTCAATCATACCAAACGGGGCCTAAATGTATATTTGTTAATGAAGGATTAACACAATTAACAATAAGTTATAACAACTTTTATGTCATAACATAATGATGTGTTATTAATTTTTGAATGGAACTTGTTATTTTATAAATGTTACTTGTTAATCTAACATGGACAATTAAATTGAAAGCTTTAAAACTTCACATATTTGCCTTGTTAAAAGTTTGAATATATTGTTGTTAATAACAAATAGGTTATTGTCAAAACCTAAACAGATACTTGTTGATGAATAACTAACACGTACAACTAAGCTCTTCCTATCATATTTTCTACATTGTTAAAACTAGAATAGATTATTGTTAATTTTGAATGAATTGTTGTCAAAACCTAAATGAATACTTGTTTATGAAGGACTAACACATACAATTAAAAAATTTTAACCACTTTTATGTCATAACATAACATAGGGTTATGACATAGAAGTTCCTCTGAAGTGGGATATGACAGCTCCCCCCGTCGATCTGTGAGGCCTTCGTCACTGGTGACCCATCAAAGAGGCCTACCGATTGGGCAAACTTAGGGCTGGCTTCGATATCACTTTATTATGTAGTCATTACTCTCTCCTCAAAAAGCTAGTTTATTGAATATGTAGCACACCCACTTATGTAGTTAGGACTTTCTCTAAATCTTTTTGATGTGGGAAATGATAGTTTCCTTGACCAATCTGTGAAGCCCCCGTCACAGGTGGCCCACCAATTGGTCAAACTTGGATCTGGCTCTGATATCATTTTATCACAGGACTATTATTCTCCCCCTCAAAAGGCTAGCTCATTAGAGTGTGCAGCACACTCACTCTGATATCACTTTATCTGTCTCTGATATCACTTTATCATGCGGCCATTACTTTCTCATTCAAGCAAATTAAGGTGGCAATGGATGATAATAAGGCTAATAGTTGAGTTTGGGATTCTTTTTATAACAGTGTCGTAATTCATTTTGTTTAGCCTATGGTACTAAAACGTCAGAATTTGTTAACTAGGCAAGCTGTGCATATCAACTGTACATGTTCTTACAATTGGTTATGCATAGATGGTATGACTTATCTAAAGATTTCATGGGACAGAAAACAAAACACACGAAGTATAAACATGATACATACTAAGAGATTAATAATGGTAGGGCACTTCCTCGTGTATCGGCATTGGTGTTGTCCATATTGTCAATTGTTGTCCACCTGACATTGATAAAGAGGAGTTAAGTAATTTCAAATCATATAATCAAATTCGATCTTGATTTTCTTCCTGCTTATAAAATGCATTAATTTGGAGTTCTTTTTTAATACAATATCAATTAAAAGCTTGAAATAAGAAGTGGATATCATATTGATAGAGGCTAGTAACCTGAGTGAGATGTATCAACACAGCAATCAAACCCACTGAAAAACACACATGATAAAGACGATAATAGTCAGAATGCATGACTCAATAAGAGATATAGCCGTGGGACCTATAAGTTTTCTTAAAAAATATATACATTTTTTTATTAATTTGGGTTAAAACATACAACTTATTATATAAAAAAAATCATTCTCATTTTGCCTCTTATATTTATTAAATTAGATCTTTAAGTAAATTTATCTCTTACTTATGTATTGACATTTGAAATTAAATGTAAAAAGAAAAAATAATATATATTTTTATGAGAATGAGTATTCTATCAATATATAATTTTATAAATAAATTACTTATATTTTGAATTGGAAGGAGCATGTAATTTACTCCAACAAAATTACCATTAGTACATTTTTGTGTCATCCCAAAATATTATGAAAACTACTTTCAAGATCATTTTTTTTTACAACACAAGATTAAATTTTTTAGAAATTACCACATTTATCCCTTTACCAAAGATATTTTGACTAAGCACTAAAGATGAGTATATCTCTTAAATTCTAATAGAAATTTAAGCTTAGTTTATTATGGTATAAAAACTAATCCTTTCATCCTACTATACTTAGCCTTGGATAGTAACTTGTATAATCTATATTATTAAGCAAGAAATAGCTTTAAAGCAAAATGTATTTTATATCGTCCTGCAAGGGCCACTTAAATGTATTTATACCCTCTTTGCACACAATCCTTAATTTATAACTCATTCCTCACTTGATTGCTATCTTATTAAGGTGCGTAGTGTACTCGCTTATATTGCTAAAACCTTTCCTAAGTCCCTTTAATGTGGGACATGATAGCTCTCCATGCCGATCTGTGAGGCCTCATCAACTGTGGCCTATTAAAGGGGCTTATCGACTGGGCAAACTTAGGTTTAACTTTGATATTATTTTATCACGGAGCTGTTACTCTCTATCTAAAAGTTAGTTTATTGAAATGTATAGTGCATCTATTTATTTAATTAAGACCATCCTTAAATCACCCTAATGTAAAAAATGATAATTCCCTCGATCAATCCGTGAAGCCCCCATTATGAGTGGCCCACCAATTTAACAAACTTGAATTTAACTTTGATATCACTTTATTACGAGATTATTACTTTTCCCTAAAAGATTAGCTCATTAAGGTGTGCAGCACACTTACTCTGATACCACTTTGTTTGTTTCTGATACCACTTTATCATGCAACCATTACTTTCTCATTAAAGCAAATTAAGGTGGCAATAAATGATAATAAGACTAATATTTGAGCTCAAGATTCATTTTATAACAGTGTCGTAATTCATCTTGTTTGGTCTATGGTACTAAAATGTCAAAATTTGTTAACCAGACAAGCTGTGTGTATCAATTGTACATGTTTTTACAATTATTTATGCTTAAATGATATAATTTATCTTCAAATTTTATGAGACAAAAAATAAAATACACAAAGCATAAACATAATACATACTAAGAGATTGATAATCCTATGTATCACCATTGGTGTTGTCTATATTGTCAATTGTTGTCCACCTGACATTAATGAAGAGGAGTTAAATAATTTTAAATCATATAATCTAATTCTATCTTGATTTTCTTCCTGCTTATAAAATGCACTGATTGGGAGTTCTTTTTTAATACAATATCAATTAAAAGCTTGAAATAAGGAGTGGACATCATGTCGGCAGAGACTACTAACCTGAGTGATATGTAACAATGCAGCAATCAAACTAACTAAAAAACACATACAGTAAAGATGATAATAGTTAGAATGCAAGACTCAACAGGAGATGTAGCCGTGGGACCTATAAGTTTTCTTAAAAAATATATGTATTTTTTTATTAATTTAGGTTAAAACATAAGCAACTTATTATATAGAAAAAATCATTCTCATTTTGCCTCTTATATTTATTAACTTAGATCTTTAAGTAAATTTATTTATTACTTATGTATTGATATTTGAAATTAAATGTAAAAAGAGAAAATAATATATATTTTTATGAGAATGAGTATCCTATTGGTATGTAATTTTATAAAAAAATTATTTATATTTTGAATTAGAAGGAGCGTGTAATTTACTCCAATAAAATTACCACTGGCATACTTTTATGTCATCCCAAAATATCATGAAAATCACCTTCAAGATCAATTTTTTTTACAACACAAGATCACATTTTTTAAAATTTAGCACATTTGTCCCTTTACTAAAGATATTTTGACCAGGTACTAAAGATGAGCATATCTCTTAAATTCTAATGGAAATTTAAGCTTAGTTTATCAAGGTATAAGAACTAATCCTTTCATTCTACTATGCGTAGCCCTGGTTAGTAACTGCATAATATATATTATTAAGTAGAAAACACTTTAAAGCAAAATATATTTTAGATTGTCCTGTAGGGGCAAGTTAAATGCATTTCTACACTCTCTGCACACGATCCTTGGTTTATAACTCATTTCCCACTTGGATGCTAAAAATAAAATAAAATTCTACTTAATAAGAATCTTTTAGGAGAGATGCAATGAAACTATATTTCTTACCTCTTTTATGGATGAAGATTGAGACTAGAAAGTACTAACCCATGATATGAAACTTGTTACAATTTGTGTACATTTTAATATCGTCCAATCAAATACATAATCAAATAGATAATGTATAATTGCAACATTTTTAAAGTCATATCCTAGTTGTGGAAGAACTTTCAAAAAACAAACTATAAAGCTTAAATATAAGTTTACCTTTTCTAATAAATAGGTCGTGGAAGAGACTCTTTGGGTACTGAAATACATACAAATAGTATAAATCAACAATAATACTACAATAAACATATAAAAGATGTCACCCACCCTTTTTTTAGGGGCTTTGTTCAAGGACACATTTACAAACTAAAGAAAAAAATCATTGACTATTCTAATATAAATATTAATAAATCATTTTGATATTAGATGAAAAAGCTGCTTGTGACTAAAAATAATAAAACCTCTATTGGACTAAGCATATGCTTTTCATTGATCTTGTTGTATTTTTTTTTTTAGTTTTAGCTTTCAAGCCTTGCCATGGGAGGCTAGAAAATAATGATAATATGTGTTGAAAATACTTGGAGAATTATTATAACATAGGTAAGAATATTTCAACTAACATTAATTTCAAGAAGTACACAACACTTATCCAAATAATTGATCACCTATTCTACTTTGTTTTGCAAGAATAATCAAAATAAGATAACATGTTTTTACTAAGGAAATCCATTTAGGAAAATTACCTATGGGTTTTGTAAAATAGATTTATTTACAAATCATACCTTGGAACCTAAGTGTAATTTAAAATTAAACTGTAAAGATAATAATATTCCTATTAAACATACATTACATCAATCAAATAATTAATTTATAATTACTTTATTAATAATTTATAATTATAATTTTAAATTTTTACACCTGTAACTTAACATATTTAATAGCTCAACAATCTTGTGTAATTATTTCATCATTAATTTATAACTATAATTTTTAATTTTTATAATTTTAAATTCACATATTTAATAGTTAAATTGATCAATTTAATTATTGGATATATAAAGTTACAATTGTAAAAAGTTAAAATTATAATTGTAAATTACTAATGAAGTAGTTGTAAATTATTTGACTGATATAATGTATATATGTTTAATAGAGGCATTATTGTCATTTTATCTCAATTTCAAATTACATTTAGATCCCATAGGATGTAGTTATAGTTTTTAAATTTTATAGGACTTATTTATAAATAAATTTGCTCCACAAGACTCATAAGTAATTTTTCCAATTCATTTTCAATTAAAAAATGGTAAGTTTGAAATGTTACTCCACTTTCAACATGTCAGATAGAGTGAAATTTAATTACTAAAATGACAACATATAATAATAATAACAATCACATCAGTTATAAATAATTTCACCACCACCAACAACAATTCTTATCCCACTAGGTAGGGTTGCCAACATGAATTGTATAATGTCATTGTACTTTATTATTTACTAAGCTTTTAGAAATGTTATTAACTAAGAAGTCTAGCTATAAATAATTCCACCATTGCTACAAAATGGTTACTTACCTATTAGTAAACATAGAAAAGTCTTTGACAGTGGTCACGTCCTAAATAAATGAACCTAAATCAATTAGCGACACCAAATTACCGACCTTATGTCAATATAATTGACATTGAGGATCCCAAAAATCATAGTGGTCAAAAGAAAGCAAAGTAAGTTACACAAATATAAACAAAGGATAATAAGTTAGAAGTATGTTTGCATTGAATAGAATAGAATAAATGAAGAATGAAAATTTAAATTCTAACATTTAAATATCATTTTGGCCCTCTAACTTTATATAAGCTTTTAATTTGATTCTTTAATTTTGTAAAGTATTTTTTTAGTCCTTTAATCTTAACATCATTTATTTCAATTGATTATTTTTTGTGCCAATTATTATTGTTTTGAAAAAAAAATTAAACTTAATATATTAATATTTGAGAATGTTTTATCAGTATTTAAAAGTTCATTGTAAAAATTTGCTCGGATGAAATTAACAATGTTAATGTTAAAAGATTAAAAAAATACTTTATAAAGTTAAAGGACTAAATATATATTCTAGCCTTTAAAATAAATATTTTTTCTTCCCAGCTTACTCATTCTCCTCAATTCAAACGAATTATATGGAACAAATTATTTGATTTAAAACCAACGCAAAGAAAAATATCAAAAATAAAATTTAATTCCACTATCTTTCCCCAGTTCTATTCAATTGCCACATTGTACATCAAATTACTATGTTAAAATGAAAGAAAAAGGCTTAGGATTATTGAACTTCCACCCTCACCTTTGTCATCCCAAGCAATAAAAAATTGAAGTGAATGAATAATAATTTAGTTAAAAAAGGAAAATGGCTCCTCAAATTATTATCACTGCAAAAACCTTTCATGTCTCAACTAAACTGAATATTGTATAATTAAAACTGAACACTTACCTTTGACGCAACAATAGATTAATTTTGGGAAGACAATTTTTCTTTAAATTTTCTAAAAGTTCCTGAAAAAGCATCATGAAAATACATATCACAAACCAACAATAACATTTTGTGGAGTAATTTCTTTATCAAAGCTTATTGATAGGCAGTATTTTTTTTAACCTCATATTCAACTATGTCCATAATAACAAAGACTAACATAAATACACATGCAGAGTATATTCTTTTGGATGAAAGCTGAACTTTTATAGAAAGAAAATGGTTATGAAGAACACATATCTAAAGAACATATAAATATCACATAGAATATGATCCAAATATTAAACAATGGCCAGTACTTTCTTAATAGTGTTATAAATACAAATATTATGTATGGATGTTCATCTCCACGTGTCATAATTATAAGAATGTTCACCTTCTAATATCACTTTACATTACTCAAAGGTTGTGATTCATGAGATTTTTAAACTTCATCTTCCCATATAGAATTCATGTCTTTTTCATGGTACATTATTCATACTCAATTGTTTAGACTTTTGAGTTATAAGTGTTTGCCTATATATATATATATATATATATATGAGATCTCATTTGTATGATTGGAAGTATGAAAGAGAATAAAAGAATCTATCCTTATTTATATTGCCTCTATTATACTTCCTCCTCTTTCTTCTCATTTATATTGTTTTTATATTTTGTTCATAACACATCATTAGCATGAGTCTCTAATGAATTTGGCTAAGGCATAGACTTGAAAGGTTTGTTACTAATTACTTGAAGGTTCTTATTTATCATACAAAGGTATGATATTTTGATTATCTTATTAATTTCTATTATTGTTATAATTTCAGGTCTTATCATTTAAATGTTCAAGATCTCTTCATCGATAGTATGATTGTGATTATCAACTTGATAATGATTTATCACTTAGACGAAAAAGTATTAGATGTGTGTTAATAGAGGATAGGCGGAGCCATGATATGTTTATTTTATGATTAAATAGACATAAGCTATATAGCTTTTGATGAGATTTATTGGCGATTTAGCTATTTGATGGCTATAAATAATAAGGTTAATGAGTATATTGAATCATAAACTATTACTTGAATAGCATCCTAAATCCTAGACTTGTAAAATGAGCAAAAAACTCCCTTCAACTTAAAAATTTCAAGCAAATTATCCTTGTTGTTTGTTCATACAATGTTGACCATTATGTAGCCCAACTGACATGTCACGTGTTAAGAGGAGATTTGTGCCATATCAGTCTTTGATTGGGGCCCACAAAATTAAAAGTAACGGTAGTTATATATAACTTAATGAGGGGGTAATTGGCTCAAAATTTATAAATTTAAAATTTTTTTTACTCATTGTAAGAGTTCAAGATCTAAGAAGCCATTTGAATAATAGTTTAAAATCTAAGATACTCATTAATTTTTTTTGAAAAATAAATTGACATATATTGGAAAAACAGATGGATGTGAAAGTGGAAAGGAGGGATAGAAAGAAAGAGGAAAAGGACAATTCGTGTGGGTATTGACTAGTGATTGTGTAGGATCGATATTTTTCTGTACAAACTAGAATGGAGTAACCTAGGCAAAGATCTTTTGATATTATTTCGATCACTCTTTCTGAACTGTTTAATTCATTTCTCAATTAGAATGATCTCCGTTAAACAAGCAAAAATTCCAATCGGCTTTTAAATTGAGCCTTTGTGGCTGGATTTCGTACGCAAGATAATCACAAATGTTTTTTGAGGACCTACTTAAAAGAAAATGTTAAGAATTTCATCAAAAAATGTTGAGAAGAATAAGCTAAGATCCTTCATAATTGTCTAATTAAAATCAAAGAATAGTAATCTTTTAAAGACTAATCTGGAAGCAGAAATATTTTCTTAAAAAAATCATCAACTAAATCTATTTACCCTTTTCAATCGATCTAAGTTGATGTTTATTATCGTACAGAATCCAAAAATACATATGCGCCTCAGGAAAAAAAATAGTAGGTGAATATATGACAATATAACCAATCCAAACTTCATGTAACGGATAAGAATCCCATTGAAAACATCAATAGCAGTTGCGCGGCATCATTATCTGGTTATAATCTCAATCCTCAGCAAGAGCTACTATGAGCATCATAGATACTTGAGTCATATGAGCACTTTATAATGAGAAATTGATGACAGCATATATATATATATATATATATTATTATTATTATTATTATTCATTAACCTTTACAAAGACTGCAACTTGCGTCACCATCAAAGAGATCACAAATTTCTCAAATATCTATAATCTTATAGATAGAAAAATTATATACGCGTATTTTTCTGAAACTGATAATTTCGGGATACGCAGAGAATCTGAGACATTGGCTCATGAAGCATCTAGTCTATGGAGACAACCCCAATTGACGCAACCATAAATCCAGGACTTAATTAATACAGCATAATACATTTAACAACCATCAACTAACTTTCCATGTTGTACTCACCTAACAGCAAGTGCTTTCAGAACCCATAAATTTGTTTTCTGCCCGAACAGTAAAACCTCTTCAATATAATCTCATATGGTTTCCAGACCGCCACCACTCTTGGTATTTTACTCGGACAAGGTAATTCTCTACATTAAATTGAGGTAAAGAATTCCTAACTTGCATCCGCTGATTCAGCCCCACTAGCTTCTGTCTATTTAATGCAACCACAAACATGGTCACGCTGACACAGTTAATTCACTACTTCATCACCACAAAGTCACTGCTTCGAAGTGGAGCATGGCTTGCAATTTCTAACTTAATCAGAATGCATTCAATATGTGCATCAAGCTGTACAAAAAGGTTCTCATCCCACTGTGAATAACTCCATCAATAAAATTAATTAGTGATAAAGAATTGTGCAGTGTGTATAACGACTGATCACAAAGAAATACAGACCACATATGGTGGCATGACTTTCTTGTGCCACAGGGGTCAATATCAGCAAGAGATGTTGAAGACTCACCAAATCCAATGGCAAGATTCTATTTCCATCAAAACTACATTCTATACACTTTGTTGAATCCAACTTTTTCTTCAATATCTCCCTTCGCTTTTAAAATATCTCCCTTCGCACTTGCAAAATCGGTAGGGACTGTAGGACTGGTAAAGAAAATTCTGCCATAGAACAGTTGACTCTGTATAGGCCTTAAGGGCCCACCTGGGGTTAAAAATCCCTGCAGAGCGATGAAGAAATATTGAAAACCATAACTTCCAATTGTATACTAACAAGCAAATCAACTGGAATGGAGGGAAATGCAAGGATGAGAAAATAGAATCAATTCTTATTTGATGTTGATGCTACCACATAGTCCGGGGCAAATCTTAAAAAACAAAGCACAAGTGACTTTTCAAGAAGTACTTCATTTTCTAAAATTATGAAATTATAGAATTTTAAACTATCTTGACCATTTCTTAATTTGTTTGAGTACATGCCTATTGCATTGTGTAAACTTGCAATCAACATTAAGTTATGAAATGATAGAATTTTAAACTATCTTAACCATTTCTTAATTTGTTTGAGTACATGCCTATTGCATTGTGTAAAACTTGCAATCAAGAAGATTAAGCCCTCAGATTTTACAAAAAGAAGCAAACTGCATAATGTACAGACTTGATAGCAAAATTTACAAACACCAGTTACCAACACATACTTCTCAAAGTATATAGAGTAAAAGGACTAGATAGCAGAATCAGCACCACAGGAGCGTAAAAGGGCTTGCCTTATGAAGCTAATTAGAGGTTCAAAGCCAACCGAAAGTGCAACATCTAAAATTGGGGGAAAAAGTTTAACAGCCGCATCTTTGTCCTATATTTAGGACCAAGTAGGACTTCAAAACTTTGCCCTAGCCTGCACATATATAATTAGAATTTTTAGACAAATTTAATAAGCTATTACAAAGCAATGTTCATGCAGTTACCCATAAATGTCTACTACTTTATTCGAAACTTCAAATAAATACTAGCTTTGTTCTGCACATTTTGTGTAGATAACAATGTCATACGTCATGTGGTAATATCGTGTATTGATGTATTGGGTGGAAAAGGAAAAAAAGGCAAAAATTAAAATTAATTATACGTATGTTGGCTTACCAAAGCATCGCATCTAAAGAGTATATAACATCATGGACGTGCTCTACCATCAGCAGATACTCCCATGAGCTTCTTTTCATCTTATCTTACTGTTAATGGCATATCTACAAGCATATGTGGTGGGGCAAAATACATGTGTAGAGACATCATACAAATAATAAAGCCCGGGAAAAGCTAAAATGGGAAAGAAACAGAAAATCAGTATCCAATAATAGCCTGACAACAAGGGTGTAAAGTTCTCGAGGGATCATATGAACCTTCAATTTGATCCAGGATCTACAGCCAAAAATAAAAACAAGGCTATTTATTTACACAGAATAGCCAGCAATAATGAACCAAAAAATCAAATACAGCATATACAAAAAATTGTACAACATTTTTTGTACAACATTTGAATAAAGAATTTAAATTTAAAATAATAACAAAAATAACTAAACCAAGCATTCTACAAAATGGAAGGCCATCTAACTCAACCATAGAAAAAGGAAACAGTTTTGCCCATTCTGTAAAAGAATAACCATGAGATTTTCCAAGGTCAAAATGGCCTGCAAGGTAATAAAGGGAGAGCATGGAAGGGTTACCTACACTAAGATAAAATGCATAGACTTGAAATTTACCTGCAATGTAGGTTTGAAGTTGAAGAAATATATTGATACAATCATGGTCAGTAGCATAGCCATTGATGTGGAATAAACCTAAAGAGAGTGGACATAACTAACAGTTACGACATAGAAAAGGCACTACACACTGTATTTATGCTTTCACATTACAATTACTTATTTTGCTCTCGAGGAAAACATTATTTTTGGGGAAAAATATGCAAGATATACATTGAGTACATGGATTATTGTTGGCCAAAAACAAAGTACATGGGTCATTCACAGAGATATAAGAAAGGGACTCAAAGGAGAGCAATGGACATGCCTTTACAATATTATCAGCATATTTCATTAACCATGAAACTAAAAGACCAGTGGACCCAAGATTTAACACAACCATCCAAGTAGTGATAGTGTACCCATTTAAAATACGTTGCCAGCAGGGTCCCTTTTCAAATCCACTCTTAAAATCATCCAGAAGAAGTTGTGTCATATTGAAAATTGCACCAACCCTGGAGAAAGAAACTCAGTTTAGTATCTATTCCCCTACAGCTACTGGTAAGTAAATTATTTGGTTATAGCAAACATATCATTTTCTCGAGTGCTTTTACACTACTCCTGCTTTAATTGTCACATTTTCAAATTTCATATATACAATCATTTTGTTTACAGAAGAAAACACACTTGCTAAATACTTTCTAAGAAAGTACAGCGCAGATATCAATTCCTCACAATTTCATGAAAGGAACTATGAAAGATTATCTAAGTCTAAACACAGAAGGCATGGAACTCGTGTAAGCAGATATTCAAAACAAATGGAACACTTTGGCTCGGACTTGCTAATAGATTCTGAGATAAGTAGTTTGAATGACTAGCATACAGCCACACACACACACGCATGCGCACACACAAATTTCACATGATATGCACATGAAAGAAAACCTATGTGTACAATTGTATATTCTGTCAGTATAAGCTGTCATTGTTTTTCTTCAGCAAATACTCAGTATAAATACCAGCTAATGCTGAAAGACATGCAGACAGGGCTCCTAACATGTACCTTTGAATTGGTGCAGAGAAAAGGGAATCGCATGAAGGCCATCCACAACTCTTAACCTAAATCAACATAGAATGTTACAGATTCCATATCAGCAATGTTTATGGAGCTCCATTTCCTGATATACTTTCTTTTTTTCCCTCTAAAGAAAAATGGCATGTTCTGTGATTAAGGCAATTAGATCTGATTAAGAAATATCAAGCAGCTAAATTGAGTTGGTTCATGTAATCAGATATATCAATCAAAAAGGTACTATTTGACATTGCATCACATAAATCACATTCCTTTTTCACTTAGTAAATCATTAGGAACTTTTGTTCTTTGGTAATTTCATATAAAGAAGCCAGAAAGGAAAGCCCAGGTTCGTCCGGGCTTAAGTCTCATGCAATTTGGTATGCAAGCTGCATTTTATGTTTCTTTAAATTCTTAAAATAGTCCTCCAGTTTAATGTCCAAAGCCAGGTTCAATTTGCATCTTCTTTCTTAATCCATGCAAGCTCCATGCATTCATCAATATAAATAAATCTATCAAGCAATAATACTTCAAGAGTCACATTATGTCCAATTTGCGTTTGATAATTGCCTTAGACATGACAAGACACTAAAATACACTTACTATATATTGTCATGCTATGGCATGTGTTTCATATCATGTCCTATAGGGTGACATTAGGTCTACACATATTAGGAATTTGATGGAATCCATATGAAAAAATTAGTTAATATCAATTAGACAGAGGATAGGAAATAAATAGTAAATAATGATGTCCAAACAATTAATGGGCAGAGAAGATATTTGATACCTAATACTCGATATCCATAAACTTTACATGTAATAATCAGACTATCTATATACAGTTATACACAGCCATATAAAACAAACTTTATTTGCTAAAAATTTATTTGTTATATTAATGTTTTCTTATACATTGTTCAAAGTAATTAAATTAATATACACAATATTTTGAAAGATAACTATAAATATCAGATACTTCAGAGGTGTCAGCAATGGTAGCCATGCCCCAGGCCCCAACAATATTTTTTTTTTTTCAGCTTGCTGCAATACACCATTGGCAAGACTTCTTGTGCTTCATAGATGATAGAGTTGAGTGGATTTTTTCAATGCTTATATGAACAAGTTTTATAACAAGTTGTTCATCTAAATTCTAGTTACTAATCATTAATGAGGAAATTTTAGTTTACAATATCATTTTACAGCACATTATGAAGAAATTCCAGGCATTTTGCATACGTGATAAATTGAAACCCAGAGAATTAAAAATGAATGTCTATGTTATTTGGCAACTGGCTTGCGGTTGTCCCAACAGCCAATAACACAATCGCCATCCACTGTAGGTTGGAAAGCTTCCTGCCTAAGAACAGCCTAGAGATAGTTGTTTGGCATCAGCTTTATTGGGAATCAAACTATAAACATCAACAAATAAAGAATGACCTCAAAATTGATCTTAACTTTAGCATCTGCAAAGTATTCCGGTTGTAACAATCTTCAGATTTCCCATTATCTGATATGTTGATGTGTCCACGTAGTTAAGGGTAGCAAATTGAACGTTATTGTGAATTAAATATATAACAGTAGGAATGGGGTGCATTCCACTCCGTAGTAATCTTTGGCAGAGATGACTTTTGAAATTCCTTCCATAACAAAACATTCGATATTGCGAGCTACATATTGGCAAACAAAGATGTCCATGCTACAATCATCAATCAATTTCATCGCACCTCAGAAACAAAGTTGATAATTTGTCACTCTAGCTTACTAACTTACCTTAAAAACCTCAGCAAGAAATGGGTCAGTAGCATAATCATACTCATACCCTCCATTACTTTGTGAAAGTGTTGTTAATATTCCCTGCATGAGAAATATCAAAATTAAACAACCTCTTGATGATTCTTAACACTTATTGGGCGCCAATGACCCATGGAAACTTTTTTTTTTTTTTTTTTTGCCAGGGACTCATAAATACATCTTCATTTTCCCCATCTGTTACTCCTCAACTGATAAATACCTCTATTGGCGTCATTTTAAACTCAAAAAAAAAACAAAAGGCAACAATGAAAAGAAATTTAAACCTACAATGAAGAAACTTAAGAGTTTAGGTGCGCATTTGACGAAAATGCATACAAAGAGCTCATGAAAGAAAATCGAATAACTTTCTCATTGAGGTTACAGCGAATGACCTGAGAACTGGTGAGAATGGTGAGGAGCGTAGCGGCCAAGTACCACTCATCGTCTTCTCCGTCTGCAGATCTATGCACTAGAAACTCGCCCAGCAGAGTGAAACTGTGAATCAACCAATTGTAGCCTGGAAAGTGGAAACGCATCGTTTCCTCGTCATGGTGTGTCGAGTTGGGAATAAAATCATAAAATATTGAGACATGGAATCTATCAAATTCAAAATATTATAAATATAAATCAAATTTTTTATACATAAATATATATTTTCAAATTTTTTTGTTACGATCAAGAAAATCTTATTTTGTATATAGTTAGACATTAAATGTAAACATTTTTTATTGTGATGGAAATTCAATAAACACCATTTGCAAATGACGATTAGTATAATATACTATTTCTCTTAAGACGGTACATCCTGTAATATCTTAATTTAAATTTTAATAGTTAATTTAGGTTAATAGAAATTTTAAAAAATATTTAGAGGTAAGCAAATTAGTAAGAGATGATTATTAAATCTAACTTAGGATATAATTATAAATTAAAATTAAAAAAATAAAAAAAAATATTATTAAATTATTATCATTATTATAAAAAAAAGAAAAAGGTAAAAAAATACAAACAAACAAAACGAGAAGAACAAGAAAACTTTCGGCCGTGCGCGTGTAATCATTATATTTATATAATAATAATAATAATAATAATAATAATAATAAAAGAAAGAAGAGAGAGGAAAAAGGAAAATAATAAAAAAAATTTGTGGGACCCACATTCATTTTTTTAAAAACCACCGTTCTCTTCTCATTTTTCCTTCATTTCTCTTCTCTTTCGTGTGCGATCAGAGAGAGCGTCTGTGAGTCAGGTCGCCGGTGTGAAAGATCTAAATTTTTAAGGTAAGAGTTTTTGATAGGATATTTAGGGTGCGATTTCAAGCTTTTCAAGACTAAGTATGTGTTCTAAAATTTTTTCTTAGTCATCCTTTCTCTTTAGTTTCTGATTTTGTGGTGGTAGAAAATTTAGGATCTGAAAAAGGGATGAATTTATGTTGAATAAATATGGTTTATGAGGTTGTTAGTAGTATAATAAATGTTCTAGAGTATAAATTTGTTAATGATCTTTGAATTTGTGGCTTATAGATCAAATTCTAGACTAGATCTGAAAATATATATTGATTTATTGAGGTTTAGATGATTATTTGGGATAAGAAATGAATTATTATGGCTATAGGATTATGATTCTAAGCTAGAGACTTAATTTTAATTTTTGAGTATTTTAGGTGCGAATTTATAAAATAAAAAAAATTTTGATAATAGAAATTAGTTTAAAATTTGATTTTTAGATTATTAATGTTTATTGATGAGTAAAAGAGGAGTTAAAAATTTACTTAATAGTATTAACTTAGATTTGTATTAAGATTGAGATTAGGAATTATGTTATATTTTTAATTCTATTATTAGAATTATTTTATTAGTTTCAAAAATTGAAACTAATATTTATAAATAATATGTTATTTATAGATTGTATTATTGGTGAAGATTGTAATGTGAGAGAAATTGTAAGGAATAATTTATTGAAAAAGCCACAAAGTAACCATGCTTTTAATTTGTGATTAGTGTTATTTCATGTTAATTGGGTGATTATTGAGAAAATCATGAATTTTGTAATATTGTATAATTGTGCAATATTATTATGAATTTGTTTGATTATTGTGGGGAGGTGTTGGGAGACTTGTTATTGTTGTTGTATTTATGTGCCACGTGGTACGCCCCTATTGGAGCTCAATAGGTGGTTTGTAAGGGCTCGGGCTAATTTATCTTTGGCCGGGTAATTTAGCACCGAGTGAGAGTTACGGCTCGAGGTTAATGGAGGGATATAAGGATAGTTATTTGTATGTATTGTAATATTTTTTATAATTGTTGGAATTATATTATTTTTAATTTTTACTTAATAAGCACACACTTAATTGTTTGTATATAATATCATAAATTGGCTTTGGTTATTGGGACTTTTGAGTCTCATTATGTGGTTAAAAATTTTCAGGAGAAGAGCCGCGAGTGACACGTGGAGGAGTCCCAGAGGCTTAGCGGCATAGATCCACTGTCTCTTTTGGGTATTTGATTTATAATTTAAAATGTGTTATATTGCCAATATTAGGGCTTTTTATTTATTGTCAATTATATGAATATATAAATGTAATCATGCCTTTCAGACTATTTCTATTTTTGGTACAATTTGGATGACTGTAATTTTAATATTTGGTTTACTTTGAATTGGTTAAAATGGCATGATTATAAAGACAAATAACTGGCTTGTGTTGAAAATTGACTAAATTGCTTATTTTACTTGTTGGGAGTATAAGGATGGACAAATGTGATTTAGCCTAATGGCATGTGGGAGGTAAAAATTTATCTGAAATGTTATATTGTGTGAGTTGAAGCCAATTATAAAATATTTTATATTGAAATTATTGATATAAAAATGTGTTGAGTGGCTGTAACCCAACTATGGTTAAGTTAAATTATTTTTTTAAAAAATTTTGGTATGTTACACATCCTTTACACATTGCACATGAAAAAGATTTGCTTGCAGGTATGTTTAAAATAATTTTATGTAGTCAATAAAAATTAGTTTAATTAAAAAAATGTGCTTCATGAAGTTGTGAGATAAAAACTTTCACATGAAAAATAATTTTTACATATATTAATTTTTTATGAAAAGATGTAACTTATATAAATTAAATAATGGCTTCATTTATTGTCTTCTTCTCTTTGACCCACTTCTCTGTTTTTGAATGAGTTTTGTTGCCGTAGAAAAGAGTTCAAGTTCTTTATCATTAATATGAATAATATACAAATACAATTTATAGGATTTACACCAACAATATTTATAAGTTATTGATAATATCAATCATGTTAAAACACAATCTGCTTTAACTTTTTTATTTTTTGCCTTCTGTAATCAGTGAAGTTGTAAATTCAAATTGTATAATCGAAACTCGCGGCATAACCCACAACAAAGAGTCATCCATCACTAATCACTGCCAGCTTCTTCCCAATTGTTTGGACATTCTAAATAACTTTTGATTCTTAAACAAAAATTTGAGAAAAGTCTGGTAACATATTTCTTCATGTTGGTCTTATAGTATTCATTCTTGTAGTTAAACATTATCAAAGACCCTTTCCATAGTTGTTCCTGTACTTTTCTTAGCACCAACTTGCAGGGTTTGATTAATCTCTCTCAGCAAGTCGAAGGGATCTATCTTACATCAATGACCCAAAATTGATGTGCCAATGCATAAACAAGTATTCTTATCTAGTTAGTTTCTACAATCATTGCCTTGCATTGTTCATGTAAATTGTCATTAATAAAATCTAAAATACTATGTTATGTTTGATGCAATATGATCATTGTTGTCGAATTTTTAAGTTAACTCTATAAGTTTAACGTTTTTACGTTTCTAGTTTACAAAATTATGTTAACTCATTTATAAATTTAGACTAGATAAAACTTGATTAAACTTGTAAATTAACTCTTCGAATTTACCTTTTTTTATATTTTTAGTTTATAAAATCGTGTCAATCTGCTCATAAATTTATTAAGCAAGATAAATATATATTATGGAAAACTTAATTCATGGAGGCAATGGGATTTGGTTCAATGAAAAATAAAACTAAAAAAACCAAAAATTAATATTAATAAAAAAGAAAACAAAAAATATCAAAAATAAGTTGTTATATTTTGAAACTTCTATATTGAGCATAATAATCTATAAATGCAAATAAATCTAATTTCAATAATTTATACTTAAAATATATTTAAATTAAATTATGATCATATTTTATATTTTAATTATTTAATCATATACTTTTAAAGAATATTTATTAATAAAGGTAAATCTTTATGGGTTTATTATCTGAGTTTACATTTTAAGCTTATATCCTTATTATGAATTTACTTAAATTCGTGAATTTAACAATCTTGAATATGATAATGATATACAATTTGTGGAAATCTTGATAATAATAGCATTTAATAAAATTGATTAGGATTGTATTTTATTTATTATAAATTACATATTACCCTCCTCTGATTGTTGGAAACATAATTAATATTCCTTTCCAAATTTATAAGCTTGAATCAGGGATTTGATTGATTGCATAAGCTACAAATATTGTCAACAATATTCGACTTTCACTCACATGGAATTAAAGCCCAGTTTCAATCCTGGGACTATGGGCCCATCATACATCCATTGCGACAATATTCTTTATTGTAATTTGAATGTTTACCATGGATCTTGGAACAACGAGTGGCATGGAAATTTGCATGACAATGTTCATCTTTAGTTCATTTGTGCACAGATAATAAACTACAATTTAATTGTGGAACATGGCATTAGAGCGTAAGGGAGAGATCAATAACTTAGTTACCTCATATGATGAAATGGAGAAGCCACCGTCTTGGAAGAAAAATACCGAGCATGTGAATGATGCCTCCAATGGTGAGAATCGACACCCTCTAGCTGTTGCCCTTAAATAGTTTTGCGATCCTCATCATGTAAAAGAAGCGTAGACGATAAAGCTTCTCATTGAAGGATGAGGTGGACTCATATTTCTGAACAGAGAGACTGTCATTCCAGATGGTTTGAATCCCCTTCTCTAATTCTCATCTTCATGCGCTTCCATGTGCTAAGATGGAAGTCGAGCTCTAGCTACAGCTCCTAGGAAGCTCCTTTCTAGTATTAGTTTGTCCTTATGGGTAGAGCTCATCCAATCTATTGCTCTATGTTCCAAGTTCTCCTGTAGTCGGATCTTCCAAAACCACAAGAATCCTTAATTAAAATGGGATTACAACTTTGCACTTTTTGAGATTTTGAAAAGAGTTATTCTTTAGAGAGCACAATATGATAAAAGTTATGCGAAACTAGAGGATGAAAACTCCATGGTTGCTTCAGAGTTCATCTTGGGTGCTCATCATCCTAAACACTGCAGTGCTCATTAGGGTGATGTGATCTAAACCATCCAGATGATCCAAATTTGATAGACTTATTTATATTTATATTTTTATTTATTAAAATTAAACATTTATAAAAACAGTAAAAAATTTAGACCATCAATTGAGTCTATATTTAATTTAGAGGGTTTAATTTAATTTTAAAATTTTTATTTATTGATTACCCAGATATACTTTACATAGTTCAAATTTAATAAAACTATAAAATAATATTTAAAAAAATTACAAGTTAAAAATTTTAAATATGAATTGTACCAAGTACACCTAAGTAGTCAATATATAAATATTTTAAAATTAAATTGCACCTTTCAAATTAATCGTAAATCCAATTGATGATAAAAAAATTTATTCCAATTTTTTAATGATTTTTATAATTTTTTTATTTTAATAAATAAAAAATAAAAATATAAAACAGTTCATTAAATCTGGATCATTCAGATTAAAATCTAGATGGTCCAAATCACATCACTTTGATGAGCACCTAAGATGGACCTGGTTGCTTCATGGCTCATCAACGCAATGGCACCCGCAATCAAGAGGAGTTTCTTGTACCTACCCACCATGTGAGAAATTTGAGAAGCTATCTGAGTGGCCTATTCTGATGGGGAAAATGTCTTTCATATTTCTTAAATTAAAACAAAACTATTGCAAATGAAATGGGGTTCCCGCAATCTTAACGAGCATTATCTTGATACGCCTGCCCTCTAACAAGAGTGGGATCTAACTAATGAAGAGACAAAGTAGTGTCCTGAGGATGTTGCCCAGCATAAAAAATGTTGACAAAGAATGTCTGTTCGAATTCCTTGCTGGACTCAATCCAAATCTTGATGCTGTGAGGGGGGAGGATCCATAGCTGTGGATCAATACCATCTGTGGGTGTGGCATTCTTCGAAGTAAGATGGGAGAATTCGTGTCAACGGGTTATGCTAAAACATGATACCAATGATACTGCTAATGCACTTAAACCATTTATACCTAATTTTTATGACCGAACCAATCAAATAGATGCAATGCATGATTGTTGAAAAGCCAGCCTCATTCAATGCATGATTGTCGCTAATCTTTATGACTGAACCAATCAAATAGATGCAATGCAGGAAAGATAAAAAAATAATACACTCTAGATATGATAAAAGTCTTTAATTTGTTTATAGTTTTGACTACTGGCAAAATAAAAGCAGCTCGGACTGTTATTGGACATATAGCAGAGGGGACCAAGGGTTGAATGAGAAAAATGTGCCAGCTGTTCAGAAGTGGGATTGCTAACACACAATGGGCAAAAATGAAACCCTAAAAATTCAATACAATGATGCAAAAGGGCAGAAAAACTAACATGTACAAGAGAAAATGTGTCAAGACAACTTGAGATCTTATTCCTGATCCATCTTTAGCAAGATATTCTTCTCAGATGATGCTGAAGAATGGGAGCTAGAATTTTTATCGTCTGATAAGAAAAGAATCACAACCAATAAGAATCAAATTGCAACGTTGCAGAGTTTCAACTGATAGAATACAAGTAATAATTTAACCATTCTGTAAATTAAAATCAGCTTTTCATGTAAAAGCAAGACACAGATGATATGCATTTGCACTACTTCGATAAATTACAACAGAACGCAAAAGTAATTACTTTCATGCACTGTCAATATTTTTGTCACTTCCTAAACGGAATGCAATATCAGGGTGTAGAGCTGTGTTGTGAAGCAATATGCATTACTTACAATATGAAGTAAGCATTTAAGGTCAACCTGGTATCCCAACTTGTTGATGGGTGATTTAAGCCATAGATGAGAATTTGTTGAATGAAAAGCTTCTGTATTTTGCTTTGGCCAGTGTGCTGTCGTGATCAAATAGTTAGATGCACCAGTGGTAGTGTCACGATGTTTAAAAAGACCCAGGCTTCAGTTTCAGCATTGGTACAGTTCAAGCCTGTTATGCACATGTTTCATATATTTCTTGATCAGCTTATATGATTTAGATGAGTGAATGCTCCTCCTGGCATATAGTGAACCGGCCACCATACAGGATGAACTATACCGAAACTAACTCCACATACATGCTTCTTTGAACAAATGCCATTTGAACCTATTTCAGCCTTCTCCCAGTCTGCTGATAAGCACACAGTAATATTTAGTGACAATCATTTGTCATGTTTCCTGACTTCCTACCAGACCATCTTCAATAGTTTTACAGCTCCAATTGAGTTTGCAGCAACAAGCACACTGGACTTCTTTCTCCAGCAGACACTAGAAACAAACTGTCCATTACCATCATCATTATTTTCTTGTCCAGAAATGGGATCAATGGATCCAAATTTGTAAGAAGTGATAGGCACTGGCAGAGATCTGTGATAACAGTATACCTGGAAGGTAGACAGTAAAACGGACTAGAATCAGAATTTGTTTATCCCAAATTTGATTATCAGCGCAATTAAAAAAGGGTGGGCTTCTATTTATATTATCAGAAGGATTTAAATAAGGGGACCTTTATACATGTCTTAATGATTGAGAATAGATGAAATCTATCTACACCTTAATTTCATGAACTGTGAACTCCAATGATATTCTATGTATTATTAACATGCAACAGTTTTTAAGCCAAAAGGGAATGGTTCAGGAATTATCGGGGGAAGAGCTGTTTCACATATAGATATGACTCGGGATATACATACATACATATATATATATATATATATATATATGCATTGTGCATATTCTTTAATTAAATATTAAGCTACATTGTGAAGAATTTTTCCTTACATATGCAATAAAAAAGCAGAGTACGGATATCTTATCTAGCATCAAAGGCGAACTAAAAGGCCATTTTCCATCACTGAAATTAGTGGGTGTGTAACTTCCTTTCATGGCAAGAAATTTTAGAATATTTTAGGGCCACAATAATTGTGGGATGAGAAATAATTTCCTGGCCTCATGACAATAATCAACATTTCGTGGCTAGAACTAACTGCAAGATAACAAAATAAAGCTCAAGCCAAAATTCAAAATTGCACCTCATTAGTTTCTGAACCACATGCAATGTATCCATCAAAGGCAGACAAACCCACAAAATTCTGCACATGGAGAAGATGAGCAATTAGAACAAACAAATAAAAGTAAATAAATAAAAGGGTAAAAACAATATAGAGTAACCAACCTTTTCATTAGTATGGCCTTTAAAGGTTAAGCTACATGCACCAGATGACAACCCCGAAGAGCTGGTTTTCTTCAGGTCCCAAAGCTTCAAAGAGTTGTCTGTGGAAGCTGAGGCAAGTGTTTCAGAATCCAAAAACTTTACATAGCTAACAGCTTTCCCGTGACCAGATAATGTGCACCAAGGAATTCTAGTGTGTCGAAGATCATAACCATAGATTTTGTAATCAGCCGATCCAAAAACCAAAAGATTTGTCGAGTAAGAAGAGAACTGAAGACAGCATACATTGGCGGGGTTCCATATGGTGCCAATGGAGTTTCTCTGCGAAAATAATTACATTTTAGTAATTTCTCATATGCTGTGGAGTGAAAAATGTTCAACTTCATGTCTATCCTGTTAAAGGGATTTCTGTTTTTTTTTTTCCTTTTTTCCCCCTCCTTTTCCGGGGATATCTAATTACATCATGACAGACATGAAGTTGAACGTCTTTTGCAGGTATTATACATGAAAGAAAGCATGCCTCGCTGATGTTCCATAGTTTCACAGAGCAGTCATCACTTCCACTAGCAAACATTTTAGGGTCAGACTGAGAGAAGTGAATGGACCATGCCCTCCTTTGGTGTTCCGTGTATCGAGAAAAGGGCTGACCAGTGTCTGCATCCCACATCTGGATTCACCCATGTATGTCAATCATTAATGATGACAGATTTTAAGTAAAAGTCAACAAAATGAATTACAGTTTTATGTACATGACAAATTATAAGGTGTAGAAAGAAGTAAACTTGGTGAACACTTAACCATAAGCAAACAATCGGAAATAGCAATATTAAAGGGGGGAAAGAGGAAATTCACTTTGCTTTGGGAATAAGTTTCAGGTAGACACCATCAAAATATGGCAAAATGCATCATTTCGTTGAACTAAAACTTGTCATTGATATACCAAGCAAACTCCAAGAGTTTATCACCATGCACAGGAAATCAAGAACTTCGTAGCATTCATTTAACTCTCCATCAACATTTTCCATTGTGTCTCTAGAGAGTTAGTCCACCAAGTCTTGGAGGCAGAATCATCGTAACTAAGGAATTTCATCTTCATCTTTTCTTTTTTAAAGAAAGTTTTAAGGAGCGACTTCCAACAATATCAAAAGATATATCGGCCTTTAAAAATTCAATCAAAATACTAACTTGTTATTTTGTGTGAATATCATTTAGAACAACTCCCTAAATTGCTTGGTATAATAATTATATATGGCCAAAGGGTCAGGAATCAGATTTGTTCATTAAGGGATCCATAAACATTCCCCCTAGTGGTGCACAGAGAAGACCACGGTAATTTAGATAAAAAGCCTTAATTACATGAAGCTTGCAGTAAAGCAATCATGAGACTGAGAAGAAGAGTCGTCCTCAGGTTCCTAAAAGCAGCACTTATTTCCTTCCTTGCTATGCTAAGATGTGTAATTTCACAAGAGCCCAAAAAAAAAATTAAGGAGGGGTCCAAAAAGGTGTTTTATCAATCAGTGTCAATGTGCAAGTAATACAAACCTGAACTACACCATCATAATCAGTAGATGCCAAATGGCTTTTGATATAGCTGTTCCAGCACACACAGCTAAGCTTTGATTTATTAGACATCTCAACTATGGGGTACTGGATGTCAATAGAATTGCTCAAAATTGCACTGACATCAAAAATTTTTATTTTTTTGGAAACTCCAGCAGCTGCAATGTAGTCCTCATCACGGTCAAAACTTAATGCACATATTACATTGGAAGAACTAAGAAGATCCTGACTTCTTAATATGCCACACTCTTCAAACTTGCTGTAACGAGCAAACTTGCATAAACCTTCAAAGAAGGATCCAAGACGATCATCGGATTTCCATTTTGTTCTTTGTTCCTCATTGTCATTATGTCCTTGAGATGATCTCCATCTACTTTTTAGCACATCTTTATCATAGGGTGCAACAGCTGCATCTTCTGTAAGCAGGATCCAGGATCTCACGGAGAAGTATGCAGTCTCTAGCTGATTGATATTTCTCATAAATCTTGCTTCATTAACACATGATGCTGGAATTGATCTGCTAATATCCGAACTGAAAGGATCTTGAAGATGAGAACTGTTTCTACTGAATTTAGAAACGCCATTTTTTGCCATAGGAAATAAAGAATCTGTCCCAAGTGAATACCTTCTTTCAACCTCTTTAATATCTTCTTCTAAGCAACTTAGCTCTTCAGCTAATTTGGCAGTCTGCTTTTGCTTTTCTTCTCTAAGTGAAGTTAAAAAATATACCAGTTGCTCTGTTTCAGCTTCTTCATCATCACGTACCAAGATATCATCTTGAGAATTCAGTTCCACTAAATCACGGAATATTTCAGATTCTGAAATCATCCTGGAATATACAAAAAAGGATAACCATATAAAAATTTGATTAAAAAAGGATGCATCCTCAACATCAGCATCCAAATTCTTTCCACCAAATATTTGTTAGAACATAATAAGAAAAGCACATACATGATATTCATTTCCTTTAAGAGCAAGCACAAAATTCTGTGTAGTATGAAAATGCTTAAGCACCCACCTATTAATGAAATATCTGAAAGGATGATGAAGCAGAATCAATGCTAGTTTAATCTTTCTTTTTACATTTATTACTCTTTAATATAATGAGATACATGTAACAAAAATAAACAAGGAAAAGGGGTGGCCAGTAGAGACAATGGCAGATAGTTTTATTTTATCACTTGGTATATTGAATTTTCAAAAACATCATTTTAACATCTAGCCATAAAAGGATGATTGTATTGAAAATGATACCGAAAGTAAAATCTGCAGTGCATTACATTACCTTGTATTGGGACGAGAAGAAGGTTCAGGATGCAAAAGCCAAAGACAAAATCCAGCTTCCTTTGGATTCTCAGATAGAAATTTTGGTGGCAGGATTCGCTGATGCAGATCCGACATCATTTCTGAATGTGTCTCCCATGACTCAATATTGCACAGCAACTGAGAGGAGCATAAGTTTAGGTGTTAAGATCGTGAAGAGCTTCTAGGGTAAAGATCTTCACAGTTGAAAAGAATGACAAACATGGGTAACAAAATCCAATGATTGAGAAGCAATGATATTGAGTAAGGGACTGTATCCTTGTAAATAGAGGGATCATAGTCTGCTAATTGTTAGTTTTAATAAAGTAGGAATAACAACTTCTGTTGAAATAGCAGGAGTATAATACTCAGGGGAACAGTGTATAAATACCCTGCTTGTACTATCATGTGACTCATCTAGTGAACACATATTCTCTCTCCTTCATACTAAGCAACTAAACTAAAAGATTTAAAAACAATGACTCATTCGATCATTGTTAACAGGAACATTCAGAAACAAGGAAGAGGCAAGTAAAGCAAAGTTTGATGATTTCCAGCTTTGGAGTTATATATTATCAGATACTATGATCTGCATTCAAACTGAAACAATTAAGAGAAAAGGTTGTTAAATTTAAGTAGAGCTCTGTACTACTTTAAAAACTATTTACATTTAAATAGAGCTCTGCATTGCATTTAAGAAGTTCTGCTAAGTAGAACTCTGCACTGTAGCATGTATTTGCAAGAAACTTAATAGGTGATCTTTCACTTTGAGGTGACTCTTTCCATGGAAGTTCTAAATCCTTTTTTTTTTTTTTTGGTGAAATTCCAAGATCCTGACCTTTGATAATTCAGTACCTCCTTTCATTCCTTTCTATGTTAAGTGATTTGTTAGAATAGTATTAGTTTACCTCCCTTTCTCTCCTATAAATATTTGCAATAGATTCCTACACATATCAAGGCTTCCCAATGCGTTCTCTATCCTTTATTCATTACAAGATTATTGTTTAATCATTACCACAAGAAGGGATGAAACCTGTTATCTTGTAAAGTTTCCATTTTATATTCACGTAATCCAAAAAATCTTCTTACTTAGTTGATAATATGCATCACAAAACAACTTGGATTAGGTTTCAGATTGTGCATGGCTTTCAAACTATGCCAAATCAGTAGCATAAAAGAATCATTTCTCGATCCAGAATAGTTCAAATTAAACTCCATAACCAGAAAGTACATGTTAATCTGCATCATACCAACAAGCTTGGGAATGTAATGGTACATCAAATAGACATGTCATGTTTAGAAGCACTCTGAACATAAGCTATAAAGACAGCAAATATATAAACGAAATTCAAGAAAATAATTTGGCTACCAAGAAGCTGCACCACAATATTCAGGCTTATGATTGGAGATGAGGGTTTAAAAAAAAAAAAAACCCAAAAGAAAATTTCCGTACCTCAAAGAGCAGAACCCCAAGGCCATAAATATTGGATGAAAATGTGCAGCCTCCATCATTGAGCAATTCCGAACTAGAATACCACTCCTCTTCCAACTGGGTAGTCACATCAATTATTTGCTTTTCATCTGTAAATTGTTGGCATTTAAAACTGTTTTGGTGCACACTTTCTGTAATTCTTGGACTCATTGATCCAATTGTGTAGGAATCAATAAGATTCACTGGTTTAGTGCTGCAGACACACATAGATCTAAAGCAATGCTGCTGCCTAATAGATCTTATCTCCTTGTGGAGCTTTTGCTGCTTTGCACCCAAACTAAGGCATGAACAGAAACCTTCTTCCATAGGTCTTTTCCTAGTCATGTTACACGCTGGGACATTATATAACTCTCCTTGGACTAATGAACTAGTGTACATAACTTTACTTGAAGGCAATAAAGTGAAACAAGAGGGTCTTAAGTCTTGCAATACAATTCCCTGGGAGTGTGCAAAATCAACAAATTCCAGGATTTGTTTGAAAATATGAAGTCTTCCTTGTTTATTAATTTTATGACCAGAAGAAATCAACCACTCTCTTAGGTTGATCCCATCATCAGAAGAGTCTGCACAGGACATGACAAATTTTTGCAAAGGCTTATCATCGGCAGCAGCATTAGTTCTGAGCAATGTATCAGGATAAGATTTAGCCATAAAGGCAGGTGTTTTGTCCTCCTGGCCAATAAATGCTCCATGGGGCTTGACACTGTTATCTGCAGCATCTTTGCAGATAACACCCTTTCCTTTCAGTTTTTGTTTCAGTACCAAGGGAGAAAAATTGTACGTAGACGAAGTTTCCTGCATTGCAGAGCTAACAAGAAGTGCATTGCTTAAGGTGCTTGTCTTGTCCCCTTTTCCTATATTTTCAGCAATATTTTCCGGGTCATAATTCATTTTCTTACTGGACAAAGACTTCAAGCTCCAAAAATTAGAATCGTTTCCTTTAATTTCCTTGCTTAGCCTATTGGATATATTTTCTTCATCGTTTGTTACAATTTCTCTACTAGAGTTCATATATCCAGATTCATTACCCAATTGGTTTATCTGAGGTAGTCTGGAACTAAGTGTGTGGCCAACAAAAACTGAATTTGGGTTCCTATAATTTCTAAAAGTTAACTCATCAGCAACATGCCCATTGCTTGCTGTAGAACAAAAACTAGCACCACGAGGTCCAGATCCAGCCAAGGAACCAAGGCACCTATCCAAATGCTTATCCTCATTACCAATATTATTGCCATTCAAAAAGCTATCCTTCCTTGTAGATTTTCGCATTCTTGGTGAACTTGACATGTTTGGGTCCCCAAAACAGTCACTAGCTTTCCTCTTCTGTTCTTCAGTCCCTTTCCCACCATTTGCAGCCATTTCTCCTAGCAATCGTTAACGCATGCAATCCAAACATGGTTCCTTCACAGTTTGAATGATTTTCAGCATAAATAGCCAAAGAAACTAAATCTTCAAGGGAAAAGAAACAGATTAATAAGTTTGAAGTAGCTACGAAGATCAGTAAACAAGATTTAATCAATAAGCTCAAATATACCAGATCCATGAATAGAATTATAGTTTGAGGTGCAAAAGGTCCCTATTCCTAAGGTCGAAAATAATCTATGAAAACATAAAATCTAATATTTGAATAATAAGAAACAAACTGGTCATGATGCATGTCCAAAAGATGAACTCAACCATTTTGCCCTCATCAGAAGGAAATCATGCACATGGAACAACAGTTCACACAAACATAATTTTCTACCAGCCTAGACCCAGTAATTACCAAGAGTAAAAGCCAGTAACATAAAAAAAGAAACCGCCATTAAAGGATCAAAGAGATGCATTGAGACACCAAGAATTGCATTAGAGCGAAAGCACTATAAGTGGATAAGGCCGTAGAGAGCGAGAGAGAGTAACAATGACACTTCAGATCATAAACCGGAGAGCAGAAGACAACAAAGAAGAGGATCACCAGATAACCAGACTTGCAAGGGAAAATATCTTCTTCCCTAGGACGCTAGTGAGAATTGAGACGCAAGACTGTGGAACCAAATAGAGACATAAATTCAGAGTAATGACCTTGAAAAGCAAAACTTGGGGACTGTCAGATATAGATATTTAGATACAGAATTTTTAAGAGGACGTAAAAAAAAAAAAATTGTTTATTAATGTGAACCTTTGTTTTTTTGGGCAAAATTTATTAATGTGAACCTTGTTCATGTGTGAGGCGAAAAGTGTATCCACGATATTGTCTTCTTTCGTGGCCGTCAGACAGAAGGACGCTCTTGGCTTTCAATAATTTGGATTAGGAATTTGTATGCACGAACATCCTTCTGTGGTTTATATAAACGGCAACGATTTCTATTTATTCACAGGTCATGCCATTCTCCATACTTTTGTAATATTTTATCCTTTCTTAATTTAACTTTGACAATTTTACAGTTTTTTGGTTAAATTATTTATAAAAAATATTTTACAAATAAAATATTAAATAAAAATAAAAATTATTTGCATAATTTTAAATTTTGAAATTATTTACTATTAAAATTTGAGGTGTATAAATCATTCTCTAATAGGAGTATAAGCTTGAGGCAAAAGTAAAAATACAATAGTTAATTATCAGCGTTATAATAGCCAAAACCTGAGTCATAAATCAAGATATTTATGAGATTCGAGACGAGAAACTCTAGTATAATTGCATAGTTCGTATCCATCTCATGCGTCGTTTAAGCAAATTTATTAGTAACGTAGTTATTTGTTGAAAGATAATATATCTATCCTCCTCATATATAAGTTTTTTTAAAAATTTATATTATTTTTAAATATAAAAGATGTTATAATAATTTTAAGTAATTGAATAATTTTATCCTTATTTTAAAAATGAGAAGATAAATTAATTGTATACTTTATCTACTATTATGATATTAATTATGACATTTAATAAAGGCAAAATTAGAGTTTTCAATTAAATAATAACTTTTGATTGGTATATGAAATTTAATTAAAAATATTTTATATATAAAGAGGAATGGAGTACGAGTATATACGGTTGACCAAATCACCCAGTTAATCAAAAGGGGGATTGTTTATAATTAGAGCTTAATTTCGGTTATATCAAGATTTTCTGTAAGCTTGCGAGTTGTGACCAACAAAGCTTTGGCCAGAAAACTTGAGCTCAGCCTCAATCCTTGGTATAAAACCAAACTTTTTCACAAATATGCTTTTTAAATTTATCTCCCATTGTTATCATGAGTTAATCATCGAAGATAGATAACTTTTTTTTTTTATCAAAAGTCAAAATTTTATTCATTACTATTGCTTAATACAAGATATATTTAAAAAGATAGATAACTCAAAGCCACGAAAGTTAAGTTGTATTCAGACAATTTTTTATACATAAAATCATACAATTTATGAAGTCCGAAAAATGAGTTATATACATACATACATACATATATATATATATATATATTCGATGTTAATATTACTTGGAATGTATAGTAATGTATTTAAAAACATTAGAAAGATATTTGTATAAAGCCGGTGGTGTTGGGGTGAAAGGAGACAAGGATAAGAATGTAATTGGAGTCGTAGAAAGGGAGGTGGTCACGTGCAACATGATATTATGAGCGGTGATATGGCGTGGCCACTCTCATGGCCACACTCTCTCATGGTCAGAGTCAGCGGCACGCCGAATTAACCAAACATGCATTCACGTTTACGTCACAAGTTCATATTCATGTTCTGACCAATCGACGTCTTAATTCACATTAAAATTATCAAACCATGGTTAAATTGATTATAACCAAAACATACAACGAATAGTCCTCCATTTATAAGCCGCAATTTGGGTGGAGCAGATTTACATTAACTAAAAACTCAGACTCTTTCTTTGACTTGATATAATAACTCAATACTTATATTTTTAATACTAGTCACCACGTTTTAAAAATAAAATTATAAGAGCTAATGATATGTTTAGGTTAATGAGAATTTGAATTTAAACCAAATCTCTCATCTAAATTCATTTCAAATTATAATTCCTTTATAATTTTAAATTTTCTCTACACTTTAATTATTTAAAATTTTAATTACTTTACATTTCATTCTTTTTATGTTTTCATTATTGATATTTTTATAAGTCTTGTATATTTTCATCCCTTATCAATTTTTTGACCAAAAGGGGAATATCATTAACAACTAAAACATCAGTCAAGCCAAATGTCAAAATGACAGAGGCATACCAGAGAAACAAAAACAAAGATTAATATTAGCCAATTCCCTGCCAGTTAAAATCAGCAGGAGTATGCAAAATTGAGTGATGCAGAACAAGAAAGTCTTTAGTGATAATGGCATTGAGAGAGGGTGAAGGTGCAGAGACCCAGCCACGAGGTTCCACCCCTGTTGAAGCAGAAGCTGCTAAAAAATCAGCAACATTGTTCCCTAATCGTCTGACTAAAGAAAAGGACAAAAAGCTAAAAGACTCAATAGTTTGCAGAATACCAGCAATCATTCCATAATATAGCCAGCTACACTTATACACAGATTTGGAATTTAAAGCCTGGAATAAATCTTGACAGTCCATTTCTAAAGTTAAGACTTGGCTAGACTGTTCAGTTAAGAGTGACAAAGCTTTCTTGCAAGCAAATAACTCAACCATAAATCTTGAGGAGGCAGAAATAGTTTCACACCACCCTTTTAGGAAATTACCTCTATCATCTCTCCAAATAATTCCAATACCAGCTCTACCAGATGAATTTAAAAAAGAACCATCAAAATTAACCTTTATGGCCGCAACAGGTGGAGGCAACCAAGAAAATGGAATTCTAGAAAACCCACTGATGATTTGGATTATAGAGCATTCGCCAAGCTGATTTTCCAAGTTGGGCATCATTGAATGCCATAAAGTCACAAAATCCCAAACCACCCTCTCTCTTTGAATTGCATAGTCTATGCCAAGCTGTCCAATGAATTTTGTCATGATCTTCAGATTGACCCTAGAAGAAGTTGGCCACCATACTATCTAATTCCTTATAGGTTCTTTCAAGGTGAAGCATAGCATCGGGAAGATAGGGATCGCATTAATGATAGATTTTATCATCACCTCCCTTCCAGCAAAGGAGAGATGTTTGCTTCGCCAACCATGAATCTTCTTCCCAACCTTATCTCACACATGAGCTAGAGCAGTAAATTTGGATCTGCCCCAAAGTATAGGAAGGCCAAGGTATGAGCCAGGATCATCGACCATAAGGATTTGTAAGAATTGGTACACATCATCCTCAATATTCATAGGGGTGTTGGCAGAGAAGAAAAGAGAAAACTTATCAAAGTTTGTTCTCTGTCCTGAGACATTGCAGTATGTGTTTAGAATTTCCTTCATGATGCTTCAATTCTGTCTAGAGGCATTCAAAAACTGGATTGTATCGTCTGCAAAGAGGCAATGTGTGAGCATTAGGCAATTTTCAGTAACTTTTATGCCCTGCAAGTGTCCCCTTTCTGCAAGTGTCCCCTTGCCTAACACCTCTTCTAACGGTAACTTTAGCAATGGTCTTACCAACAATTTGAATATTAAAGTGAGGGCTTTTAAAACATTTCATCACCAAGATATCCAAAGATCATATAATCCAAGTTTGCAGAGAACACCTTCAATAAACCTCCACTCTAATTTATCAAAAGCTTTATTCATGTCTATTTTGAAGGCAAAATTAAACTCTTTTTCAGATTTTAGTCTTTTCAAAAAATGAAAACTTCTTGAACAAGAAAGATGTTAACTGGATGAGACGATTAGGAACAAAAGCTTTTTGTTGAGAAGAGATGCAAACATCTAGAATAAATTTGAGTCTAGTGGCTAAAAGCTTGGAAATTACTTTATAAGTAAAGTCACATAAACTTATATGTCCAAATTGGCTAATGGTTTCAGGTCTATCAATCTTTAGAATCAAAATAAAATTAGTTTTATTCAGTTGGTCCAGAAAGGAGTCACCTCTCTTATCAATTAAAAAATAAAAATAGACTTGTTATTTGTAATTTTTCATTTTTGTTTCAAGATTCATCTATCTTTTTATTTGATTTTTTTTTAACTATACAAACAAAGAATTTTAAATAAAATTTCAAATGTGAAATCTGAAATACAAGATTTCAAATCTAAAATCCAAATTTATCAATCAAACAACACCAAAATTATCTCTAAAAACTTAAAAACTAATATTTTAAATGGTTAAAACTATAGAAATTGGGATATATTTAATCAAATCAAAACTATAAAAATTAAATTATACTGAATTAAAGTTTGGAGACTAAATTACAATATGATTAAAACCATGGTGGTCAAATGATTAATTCTCCTTATGTTTTTTACCCGAAAACCGTTCATATAAACTTTATATGTGCTTTTCAATTTTCACCTCTCCTTGCTAAGTTCTAGTTCCCCGCCTGTTCACCGTGATTAAATCATGCTATCGGGCTCCTTCATGAAGATGAAACCCAAGGAATTCACTTGGCTTTCTATGTAACGCATTTTTTGTGACGCTGTTGCCATCATTCATTCAATTAACATAGCACCTTTGAACCTTTGGGTAAATTTTAATTTTTCATTTCTCAATTTTGTAAATCAGACATGTTTTCTTGTACATTATGTCGACCTATAAGTACAAGGGAAATGGAAGCCTACTATGAGTTACGTACGCATTTCAGTTATAATACAAATTTTGCTAGTCCATGACCTGCCAAATTGCCCATAGAATTTACGGACACTTTGATCTTTAACGGACAAGATGGAGGGGGTAAAAGAAGGGGAAAATTTTTGTTTTCACGGCATTAGCGTCTTTTAACATTGATTTATATTTAATTAAATAAATTTCAAAACTCTTGAGATAATACCAAACACATTTATAGTGGTGACTGGTAATCAAATTCCATTCCATTTTAGTAAAACAACTTTCGCTTCATCTAAAGTATTGTTCTTTGGATAATCTAAATAGAAGGGGGGAATTGAAGGAATGCTCACTAAAACATAAAATTGCCAGCCCAATGGATGTCCATCCTTGGTATTTTTCCCCTTCCTCTCTGAAAATTTCTTGCAGATTCATCCACCGTAAGAATTGAAACACGATCTCACCAATCACATTACAGTATAAATACCAGTGTTTCTCCATGTTTCAATGGTTGTAAAAGTATAGCATCACATTATTTGTGTGTTAAACTAAGCTATACCTAAAACAAGCAAACAACTCATTCTTTTGCGGGGGTAATTGAAAGGTACTGGGATTCAGTCACTGCAAATTCCAGAAAGAAAAATGCTTTCTTGATTCCTGTAGAAAGCCCTGCAGATATGTCCTTGCATTGAACCTCCACAACATTTATTGACATAGAAGATGAATGAGATCCTAAAAGCTACCAAAGGTTCACAAGGAAATACAAGAAAGAAACAAGGGAATAGATTTATAAACACTAGCTCGAGCTTCCCTGAACTCATCCTTGGAGAGATGACAACGAAGAAGAAAACAACCCTAATTTACCATCTCTGCATCCCCTTGCCTACAAAAGTTACCACACCAGGAGAACAGATATCATGAGGCAACAAACCTTCACTCAGATATTCGGATCTCCACTCCTAAAATGTCCTTCACCACCTCATACGTAACAAAGGCAATAGCTATAGATGGGACCACCTGAAAGACATCAAGTGAATATAAATAATGTTTGAACTGAAGGAAGATTAAATCCCCTAAAAGAAAACAGGAGAATATACAAACAAAATCATGTTCATTATCATACTACAATGACTTCTATCATTGGCGATTGAAGAATAATAGGGTGGTATGCAAAGTGGACAGTCTTCCGTGGATTCAGACCACAACAAATGGAAGTCTATAGCATCCAATCTTAAGTCTTGTCACCAGTACAGGAAAGAAGAGATTATTTATAAAACAATCCTGTGATCTCAATTGAAACAGCACCAGACAGGGCTAGAAATAAGCTAAAGCCTAGAACAGGTGTCTGCATAGTTGATCTTAGCACATCATAGATCTGGAATTACAGCATAAGTAATATATGGTTCAAGACACCAATATTTGACTCAAAACAATTGGATATTGTCATAACTACCGAACAAGTTGATTTTGGTCAATCAGGTATTGCTACATTCACAGTTCTAAACAGGACTGACATTGAAATGGATACAGATACTTGGTGGGAACAAAAAGTTTTCCAGTGACCCATTGCAGCATTTTTCAAGAAAACATGCCCTACACTGATAACAACTGTCTATGGAAAGTAAAATCATGTAGACAATCAGAAAGTCTTCCCCACACTTAGGCAGAATAAGTTATGAGAATTAGATGCATACTGACCTTTACAGAATTGGGCACCAAACCCTTGTATAATGCTCCAAATCCCTCATTACGAACAGTTTTCCGGAATGCATCAATCATTCCGTTGTATTCAAGAGGAGCCTTTCCTCTTCCATCACCAGCAACAACAGAAGAAGCATGATTCCAACCCACCATCTGCATTCTTCTACGAATGACATCAAGTGGATATGCAACTGTTTGTCCAATAGTTCCAGCAACAGCACCACATGCCAGCCGTGTTGTCACCCCCAAATCATTATCTTGACTTATGCCAAATGGTTTGGTTTTAACTAACCAGTCTTTCAAAGACTCGTACACAGCAAAGTTGAGACCCACATAAGGAATCTGCAAAAGGAAACAGTATGAAATGAATTCCATCCGTAGCACCCAAACGAGAGATTCTATGTGAAGTTAAAAAAGAACTTCAATGTGCCGGTAATACTTATGAAGCATGTGATCAACATTCTATTGTAAGCCCCTACATTTAAATACAATTGATCCTGCTTCCTGCAGTTGGCACCACTACTGCCTAGTTTCCTTTCTAGATCATACTAGATAGGTTACTTGCAAATTCTAAAGGATTTAGGAAACTCTAGGATAGTAGGCCTCTATTTCTTGAATAAATTGATTCTGCAAACAATAAGCAAAGCCTTTCCAATCAAGTAGTCACAGAGCAATAATCAGGATACATTGCTGAAAGGTAAATGTCCATGTCACATTAACAGTAATCCTGCCAATTTTTGGTATGGCCTTCTCATGAATCCTCCCTCATATTGGCCACAAATATCTTCAGTCTAAACATAAATCATCGATAAATCATATTCATAGGTAGATAGATGGATGGATATCTACTAACAAATCCTAACCTATTCAGACATACTGTTCTCAATAAGACCCCAGTAGCACAAACGTAATCTCATTATCCCAGTCAAAAAGCAATGGGAAAATGATTTGGCAATAACTATTGGAGTGACAAGACAAAGAATTTGAGGTCTGAAAGCAAGTCAAAATAAAGGAATATTTATATATAAATATAACAAACAAAGATGTAAAGAGCCTACAAATTTGCGCCTCAACAAGAAGTAGAATCTATATGGCTATAATTTGATCCCTTATTCAGCTGCACCCATTAGGATATTCAAGAATAATAAAATCAAAACAAAAGGCGTATAGCTGCAACAAACCAACTAATCCCTCTTTTCCGAACTTCATAACAGACATTCCCTATGATATGAAGCTTGCGGTCCAAAGGGGGGGGGAGAATAAAGTGAAGCAAGGCCTCCTATGAAGTCAATGTTTACATAAAGTATATTAATTGGATTTGTTATGAATTTAGGATCCTGACCATAAATCTTTGACTTCAGGAACAATTTAGATTATGGAACTATTACTCACAACTCCAATGACAGAAGGAAGCCAGCCCTTGTATAAAGCACGTGGACCTTCTTCCCTGAGCACAGTTGAAAGAGCATGGAACATTCCTCTGTACTGGTAAGGGGAATTCTGTGTCTGCAAATTAAAAAGGAAAAAAAAGATTGCTGAAGAACAATGAGAACAAAAGGAAGATGGGCATATTTTATCAAGGTTTCTTATCTAATTCAATTTGCAGCACTTCGAGAAAATATTAACTTTATACATTAGAAGCTGCCATTCTGAAAAATACAAAGCAGCATTTTATATAATGAACAGGTAAAAAGTTAAAAATAAAATGCACCTGTACAGTAATCCTGCCTCGAACCATATCCATTGGATAAGTTGCAGACATGGCAATTATTCCAGCACAAGCTCCAGCTCCAAGACGTAGAACTGGAGTCAGTTCAGCATCCTCTGCAAGAAGTGCAATGAAAATACTTAGACCATACTGCCAAATATTGTCAATGCTCAAAGACATAAAAAGGTTCATTTCAGTTGATGCATTTATGAGATTCTAGGATACTACTGATAAAGCCTCCAACGTGCCCAGAAGCATTAGGACTCGTGACAGAGATGCTGAATTGATTTTTCATGAGACCAAATATTAGAATTCATGTAAGTTACCCAAAAAAATATTATGGTTCATGTACTCGACCAGTCAATAAATGGCATGAAATTGAAACTCAGAATCCTAGATTCCTAGACAGTATTCACTGGTCTACATCACAAACTGCCCCATCATCTAAACAATTGACAATAAAGTTTAGCATGGTTAAGTGGAAAGAAACAAAGTAACAAGTTTAGATCAAACTGGAGGAAACACAAAGACAGGCTCAAGGAAGAAGAAATTCCATCAGTCAGAACTGAGAAACCCAATTTACATGGATTAATCCTATTATTGTGGTGGATGACAAAATTTAGTCTTGAGTAGATGGGGAACAAAATGGAGATGCATCTTAATGTATAGAGACTACATAATTACACCACAGAAGCAGGACGACATAAAAAATGGCAATACAAAGGTCACGGGATAGATTACTACTGTAATAAAATTATCATCTTGATACACAATGCACAAAATAAGATGACAACATGTACACACCTTTTCCAGTTTGCTGCCGATACATATACAGTATTCCTCTGTCAAAATAACAAGGAACAGTTAGGGATAAAAACTGAGACATTGGAAATATGAGTCAGTTGCATGAAAAGAAAATCTGAGATGTCATTGCAGGTGCAGCTGCAGACTGCCATCAAGCAAAACAGTAAAGGAGGATTGCTGGAGCCAATCTTCCATCATGGTGATGACAACACACAATTGAGCATAACATAGCAAGTTTACATTGGTACAAGAAGGAGACAGGGTAAAATCATTTTTGAAAGTGGCAGGGTACAAGTATGGCAAATAAATTGACATATCACATGTTTCCAATAAATAAAATTAAATAAAAAAATTATAATGGGTCATTAACAAACAATAACCAAAATTTAATATTTACAATTCCAAAAAAAAAAACCATGTTTTCAACTTTTGCATAGAAGGGAAAAAAAAGGATTGATAATAATTTTGGAAGGCATTTGCAGCGGCTGCAAAATAACCATGTTTCCTGCTTAATTACAACAACCGCCACCACACCAAAAGTTATCTTCCCTGTAATTTATGATGCCTTCCCATTAGAACCACCATTCCCGAAATCCCAAATGCAAGTCTCTAGAGTTGCGGATATCTCTAAGAGAAAGGAGGGGAGAAGTTACACCTGTTGATTTAAGTGAAAAGCTTGCCCCTCAAATCAGGAGTGCAAGACTTGTCTCCTGTTTAGGTTTTTAATTCATTATTTTGAAAAGATGAATACATATCCCATACCTATTTAGGCACACCCAAGACATACTACCTGGTACCTACACATCTAACTTGCAGTTATAACAGTGCTTCAATGAATATAGCACACAGATGCATATCAAATGGTACAAAATGCTACACAATTAAGCAATCAATGCAACAGCAACACTGTATTTCTTGAAGAAAACTTACTTGGAAGCTTGCTCATAGCTAAAGAACTTCACTGCAGAATTAGGGACAATTCGAGCACAATTAGTACCATTCCCTTTGAACAGGCCACGAAAACCTTCTGTTCTCCATATATATTTTAGTCCTTGAACTGTTCCGCTATATTTTATATTGTGGGGATTCTGGACCTGTAATGGCAAGGCCCAGAGACATATCAGATGAATGCACATGCACAAGCACACACAACAGTAGCTCGAAGGATGAACTTGTACACAGTTAATAAGAAATGATATATTTACACAATCAACTGTAAACAACTTAGACAACTAACCTGTAGCAAAATTTTCATTCGTTCCAGTGGTGCAACTGCTGTTCTTGACCTACACAGATACAAAAAAGTTTTGAGTGAATTAAAGTTCAAGAAGATAATTCTTCCGTTTTTATATATAAGAGAAAAAAACTATACCATACGATTTAAGAAAATCAGTTAACGATGAAAATTGTGTCTAGAAATAAAAATATTGGACTAAAATACACTTGTATTTAATCAAAATAAAGCTGCATTAATTATTTCTCATGAATGAAAATTATGAGTTTATGAGGGGTCATCTAAGAAAATTGAAATAAATGCTTATTGAGATACATGATTTTGCTAATAAATTAAAAAAAAAAAGTGGTAGTTCCTCTTACATATAGAAAATGAGGAAGTAGTTGATTGGACAGGATACTAGGTTTAACAGTCAAATAACTTTCATGGTATTTAACTTAGTTTGTTATTACTGTCCTCAATTTATTGAAATCAACACCAACTTCAATGCAACCAAATTCTTGGTTAGAAAGCAAAGTAACGCTAGTATGGAAATTCACATTCAAAACATAAAAGGATGAAATTTTTCTACCACTTTTCATTACCAAGAAATCAATTGAAACAGGATAAAGAGCTGGCATTACATACAAATGTGCTGAAGCACTTACGATTCAGAATATATAACAATAATAAATAGTAAGAGCATCAGAAGCATAGAGTTTATTGAAATGACTTATGATATAATGTCTAACGTTTAGCAAATGCAGGTATATAGATTCATATCCAACTAAATCCTAAAATGTTCTCACGAATATTTAAGCAGTCATCCAAACTTTTCTAGAAAGTACAAGAACCCTTTGGTTTGGGAGACTGGGAGAGCAGTTTGAAACTGAAATTTCATGAACAGGTAGAACTTTGAAAAATGAGCAAGTTACACAATAAAACCAGATAGGTAAAATTGAGCCTTATCACAGGACCACGTTCTGTACTAACAGTAAACTACCATAGAAAGATAAATGAAATAAAATTAAAATTATCAAATCAAGAATTGAATATTTGTAGTTTGAGAGGCCAAATGAAGCCCAAACTATCAAAATAGAAAACTGCTGAAGATTTACAAATATGCAGATCAAATCATGAAACTTCCAAAACTTAAAGGAATTCGATCCCATGACACCACATTCCCATCTCAATAAATGGAGATTTCAATACAATCGAGAGCCCCAGTGAATCCTAATAATAATTTAATTCATAAAAGAACTATATAAGCAGCCAAAAATAAAGCCCTCCTGCGTATGAAAGCCGGAAACTAAAACCAGGAGAAGCATTTGTTCCCAGGTCTAGAAATGGGAGTGCTTCTTCACATGTGATCCAAGGAGAGGGAGCGAACACGCACATCACTGGCAATTTCCCACCTTATCGTATAATCAGGTTATTCATCAAGCAGAAAGGAATGGCCACGTGAAATAATGTTAATCATACTCTGTCCACAAATTAAATGGCTCATTATTTTAGCAATTAATGCGTCATTGTTCCTAAACAATAGAACATTAAACCTTCACGATCCCCAAAAAAAATTGTTCTTGTTTATAATGGAGCATGGAAATTGAAGCAGTGATATTTCTAACCATTTAGTTTACTATGGGGGAAAAAGAAAAAACTTGGATCGAAAATAAAACATGAAACACGAATACGCTTTCGTCCTGAGTCACTCTTTAACCCTCAAAATTAAAAATTGCATTGACGAGAGTATAACTCACACTCCTCCCGCGACACCACCGGCGACCAGGGATTTGCAAATGCTCATAAGAGCATAGCTGGGAGCTTTGACGCCTTCTCTAGCGAGTTTCGCCTCCTCTGCGAGATTGACGATCTTGGTGACAGCAGATTCGCCAGTCTTGACATCCTCAGAAGCCATGAAAACCCTAACCTCAAGAGCAGAAAGAAAGAGATCTCTCGCCTAGACCCTAGTTCGTCGGAGGACTAAGATCTCGGCCTTACGGAAAAACAAAAAACGGTGAGATTGCTGACGGACAATCACCGAAGCGAAGCGACCATGTCTCCCTGTTCAATCAGTCACTCTCTTTCTCTCTGTCCGTTTAGTGGCAGAGGCCAGAGAGGCTGCGACGGCTCAGAGAAACTCTGAGAGTGAGGACGCAACAACGACCTGGAAATGACGGCGTTTGGTTATGACTTACAGATGCGTGCGTGTGTACATATAAGGTTGCGTTTGGAAAACGAGCGTTTTACGTTCAAAAAGTTAATTTCTACTTTTAGAAAGTTAAATGGTACTTGGGGATTATTTAAGGTTTAAAATTAACTTTTTAAAAGTACTTTTAAACTTGGCTAAAACAAAAAAAATTAGAAGCTGATATTTGGAGTTTTTAAAAAGTCAGTTGAGGAGAGATAAAATACTAATTATTTAAAATGATCATGATACCCCTGACTTTATATTTGTCTTTTTTGCCTCCCGAGCTGGTCTTCTTCGTGCTTCAAATCTCGCCTGCTCTTCATCTCAATTCTGTTGTCTCTGTGCTTTGCTCTCGTCCGCCTCTTCCGTGTCGTCTGCCATCAATCCGCCTCTGTCATATTCCGGTGAGTCTAGTCATTCTCTCCTCCGTCTTCCCCCACCATCTCTAGTCATAGATCTGACTTCTTCATTCTCTCTTCTCTGTGTTGTGCTCTGGTCTGCCTTGCCCCCTGTCAGATCTCTGGTGACTATCGTCCTTCTCTCCTTCATCTCTCCCCCACCATCTCTAGTCACAGATCTGACTTTTCTTCCTTCACCGAGCTCGTGGTCTCGTTCTGTCATCCTTCCTTACCATTTCAGTCACCATTTTCCTTTTGTAGCTCACGAATCGAGCTTCTTTTGGGTCTTGGATGGCATTGTGAAGCTGACAGAAGTAAAAACACCTGAGGCCTGAACTGAACTCGGACAGTTAGAGCTTCTTTTGTGTCTTGGATGCTCGTTGATCCTCTGATTTTTTCTCCAGATTGCTTATGCTTTGTTTTTTTTCGGTTGAAGGTTCTTCTAATCTGTTTAACCGTTTCTTCCACTTGCATTGGTAATCCAAAACTTAAGAGCTTCTGGACGTTGGGAATCTGAACGTTGAAGAAGAAGGACTGGTTCGAACTTTTCTCATACTTATTGAATAGGAATGTTGTGAATCTGAACGTAGTTGTGCTCTGTGTGTATGGTTCAAACTTTTATTATGCTGAATGAATAGGAACCAGAATGGTGGAAATGCTTGGTTCTGTTTTTAGATCTTGAATTATTTAAGTTCAAAATTAACTCTGCTCTTTGTATATGTTTGTAAATTTTCTTATAATCAATGACTGATTCTTAGGTTTTGATTTCTTTTCCTGAGAATGTGTGTGTTTTAAATTTTTTTTATGCTCAATTACTGGTGAATTATTCTAAATTTATGCATGTTTTTATGTGTGTATTTTCAAGTTATTTTTTTGTTCAAACTAATGTTGAATTATGGGTTTTGGTATGGTTTCATAAATGAATATTGGATGATTTTACTTAATTAATTATTAGTTACTTTGTTTCCTGTTAAATGTGGATTGACAAATAGGTCTAATTTATGTTAATTAATTATTAACAATGTAATATTTTGATAGTAAATATGAGTAAGGAGAAGGTGTAACAGTACGGAGCCACCCCTTGGGCCTCGACTCGGTACTGGACTCTGGCCCATCACTGGACCAAAGCCGACTTTCCCACAGGTGGTACTGTGGTTATTCCTCACCACTGCCTCTCCAGGGTCTTTTGGAACCTCCCCAGACTCGAACCTCCAACCTCTACCACCTTAACGAAGTTGAGGCGAAGTCTGGTACCATTGGGTCAAGTTGAAGGAAGAAAAGTCAGATCTGTGACTAGAGATGGTAGAGGTTCCGTACTATTACATAAAAGGACTTGACCCAATGGTACCAAACTTCGCCTCAACTTCGTTAAGGTGGTAGAGGTTGGAGGTTCGAGTCTGGGGAGGTTCCAAAAGACCCTGGAGAGGCAGTGGTGAGGAATAACCACAGTACCACCTGTGGGAAAGTCGGCTTTGGTCCAGTGATGGGCCAGAGTCCAGTACCGAGTCGAGGCCCAAGGGGTGGCTCCGTACTGTTACAGAAGGCATTGTGGACTACCAAAAAGACTGAACTGTTCATCAAATTAGCTCTCCAATAAGTTAGAAAAAATGAGCGCAAGGGCTCTACTTTATTAAAGGAAGGTTGGGAAGCGTTAATGCAATAATTCAATGCTTTGAACTCTAGAAGCTATGATAAGAAGCAGTTAAAGAACAAATGGAACAATTTGAGGAAAGATTAGAATATATAGGATAAATTGCTAAACAAAGAGACCGGCTTGGGATGGGATGGCGAAAAGAATACTGTATTAGCACCGGATGAGTGGTGGAGTCAAAAGATTAAGGTATATAATTATATACGACATGCTATATATTCGATGCTTTATTTTGTAAATATATTGAACTCAATTCTTGTAATGTGTAGGAGAATCTTGAGTATAGAAAATTTAGACATAGACCACTTCCATATGTACAAGAATTGACACAGTTGTTCCAGCCAATTGTAGCCCGAGGTACTTACCTGTGGACATTAGCAGCTGATGACCCACAATATGTGTATAGGCCTCAACTTAGGAGACAGTGATGATGTGAGAAATATTAGTGGAGGAGCTCTCCTAGAAATTGGGCAGGTCAACTTGAACAATGCATACAGTGGTGGTACTAATTCGGGGAGCAAGAGAAAGAGAGGTGAAAGTGGTCAAAACAAGAAGGGAAAATGTCTTTGTTAACATCTAGAAGTTCATGTTATTTCATCACATTTTCCTTAGATTCTAATCATTTTGGTTCAATTGTATATATTTTTATTTTCTAAATTAAGAAAATGTGCATTTTGTTTTGGGCTTGTGTTATTGGCTTTAATTTGATATTTTTAGCTTAATTTCATGTTATTTTGATTGAAGTTTTGATTAGAAGCATTTTTGGAGCTTTGTGGATGTTTTTTGAAGGCTTTTAGATGAAGAAATCAAGAGAAAAATGAATGATTTTCGTTAGCTTTAAAAACAGTGCAAAACTGCCAAAGTCGTCTCAAAGTTGTGACTTTCGTTCGCGACTTTCGTCGCTGTCAAAAAAATACTGCGTTTCATTTATCAGAAATTAGTTGGCTATGACACATATAAGCTGAGAGCTCAACCAGAACACATTCTTCAGACTTTTAGACACTTTTGGAGCTTGATTGTGCTAAGGTTTGGGTATTGGAAGAGTTGGGATCAAGAGATTGAAGCTTTGAAGACATTTGGAGCTCATTTTCTTTGGTTTTTCTATTCCTCTTCCCTTTCCTCTCTTGTAATATGAAATGGGTCCACTTATTTTATATATTTGTAGCTTGTGGATGATTATGAGTAGCTAAATCCTTTGTTCTAAGATTATTTGAAACCCTTATATGGATTAACACTATATTTCTCCTCTCTTTTTGTGATTAATGATATATATGTGTTTATTTTACTTTTTCCTTAATGCTTCTACTTGATTGGCCACCATTTAGATGTTGGGTTCACTTAATTGATGCTTGAGAGGGCTAGGTTGAGTGTAGAACTTGGGTAAAATTGTGTAAGAACTTGATATTTGCATGTTAAATGGATGGTTTTGCTAGTAAGATAAAGATTACTTGCTAGCCTTGCATAGCCATATTAGAGTTGGTGTTTAAAATTGAGTTTTATTAATTGTAACAAGAAATTGGGCAATTAATTTAACTAAACACTTGTTCATGACTTGAGAGAGCTTGTTCAAGTATTTTTAGAACCCTAGGTTAGCACTTATTTTCATTAAAAGCATTTATGAGAGGAGGTAATTTTGGTGTTATGAAATGCAAGGGGGACAATTAATCCTAGGTCTTAATTTGTGTTGGAAGTTTGTGAATCACTCACTTTCTTAATTTTCTAGTGTTAGTTTCATTTACAAAATCATTTTCACCTAACGTTGCATAGCTCAACTTGATTGAATTTACTTAGTCTTTTACTTGATCATTGTTTTTGAACAAATCCTCGAGGGAACGATACTTTGCTTTTATTATATTACTTGCTACGATCCGTACACTTGCGGTGAGCAACAGTCTTGCAACTGTGATGGTTGATTCAGTGAGTTGCTTGGTGTCCACACAAAAGGATAAGGTTTCAATACTAAAATCAATTCTTAATTTCATAAAGGGTGGGACAAAACCAGTTGATCAAAATGTGGTGGATGTTGCAAAGGAACTTTATGGAATCGAGGAGATTGCTTATGATGAGGCGCTTCTTGAACAGTATGTTGTGGCTTTGTTAGATAAGACTGCAAGGGACATGTATATTGGGCTTAGGGACAACAGAAGAGCATTAGTGGCCTATTTGAGGTGCTTGGGCAAAAAAGCAGATTAGATCAATCCTAGCTTACCTTCTCAATGTCTTAAATTTAGCTAGTGCCGTTTATGTTGTTAACTTTATTTTGAAACTGACTGTGTTATTTGACTCTTGTGTTATGTGTTTTTGATGTTAAGTCATGGACAATGGTGTAATGGTTGTTTAATTATGTTATGCAGTTTTTATAGATGACAATACACAATCTTGCTTATTATAATTACTTGTACATACGAAAGACGATGAGATTGAGGCTATTACTGCAATAATATCTAATTACTCAACAATTTTATTGAAAGAGCCTTGTAGAACCAGTTCACAATTAGGTCATGCATGGGTGCAAGAAATTTTGCAAGGGCATCATCAGCGTTGTTATGACATGTTTCCATGGAAAAAGATATTTTTTCCAACTTTGTGATGAACTGGTGCAACATGGTTTGTGTCCAACTAGAAGAACAAGGATTCATGAAATGGTCAGTATGTTCTTAAATATTGTTGGACATGGGGTAGGGAATAGGATGGCACAAGAACGATTTCAACATTCAGCAAAGACTATTCATAGACATTTTAAAAATGTATTGCGTGCTTGTGAGAAGCTAGCAAAGGAATATATCCAACCAAAAGATCGCATTTTTCAAGATAATCATCCAAAAATTTTAAGTGATCTGCGATATTGGCCATTCTTTAAAGATGCCACAGGAGCAATCAATGGAACACATATCCCATACGTGGTTAGTGTTGAAGAGCAAGGGAAATATATTGGAAGAAAAGGTATTCCAACACAA